GTCTCAAACAACGATGTTGTTTAGCTTCATTTGATTATCAAATCAAATACAGTGTAGTATGGACAGGAATAAATAATCACTATTATCATTGTTGATATGTTCACTAACCTAACATTTTCCACGTCTTGTTCCTATAGCACTGGCGCGGTATTTGCCATTAGAGCACCTGGTCCATACACAAATATGTCACTCTGTGGTTGTATTAATATTGAAACTACAATTCGAACATCCTAGAAAACCTAACCTGCTGTTAATGCAGGTAGAATATTCTCACTACATGGATTATTTGTCAATATTTGTTGCATTGCATACATATGGCACGGCATTGGTGGTTACTTCACATGTTTATTTGAGTTAATTGTTTCGGTTGCAGAAAAAATAGCATGTTTCATTCGGATCAAAAGTGACTTTGTTCGACTCGCAAATTTTTCTTTCGCTCGGCTAAACGCTCCGCCTCGCAAATGCAAAATTCGCTTGTCAAACATAGTGTCACTTTTGATCCTAATAAAACAATCTACTATTATATCCAGTGTCTTACACGAAGTAACCATATGAATAGAATAGAAAGTTCGAACACTTATCAAGGGCTGATGACAATAGCATAATTCAATACTTTCATCCCATTATCCTGATCAGGATCTTCAAGATTGCACCAAGTATACTCATATAGTATCAAAATAGTAGGAAAATAGTTACACTCAGAGAGACGGTAGTGTCTTGTACCAAGTACTCGTATTCAATTTTCAATTTCAATTCAATTTCAATTTTTATTTCTCTAATTGAAGTACATGTCATGATGTTAATAAAATAATATATAAAAAAAAAAGAGAATCCTAGATCTTGCAAAAGCCTAGGCAAGAATGCCTGTCTTGCTTTGTGCTCGGTCTCGGGATTTTCATGATGATCGTACATTTGTGTTGTGTTGGAATAGTGAGTAAATTTATAAATAAATAAAATATATCTCTAAGAATTCTAGGTATCGGAATTCGAAAACTAACACAGTAGTAGATAATTAAATAATAGAGATAATTAAATAATACAGAGTTAAATAATACAGAGTTAAATAATACAGAGGAGAGCAGATGACAGATATGTGGTAGGTTGGTACATATCACCTTTCACCTGAAGGTAATTCATTGTCTGTTAATTTTTTTTTTCTTCATCAGTCGGTTTATATTTCTCCTGGTAATAATTTTTCTTGGTTATATTTTTCTCGGTCTGTTCTGAGTTTAAATTGAGTTTAATATTTCATGAAATGAAGTTTCCAGGAAGATATTCTAGTAAACGGTTTTCAAATAGGTGAGGTAGTTATTATGGTTAAATATGGTATAATATGGTATAATTAGCCGAAATAGGAAATAGAAAATGAATTGTAGTATGAAAAAATAAAAAACGCTGTTATTTATAGCCGAACAAATAGTCATAATATATGTTAAATTTTCATCAAAATATCATGTACAGGGTGGACCAAATTGAACATTTGGAATTGATGTCGGTGATGCCCTGCTGCAGGTCGATTTTTATAACAAACTCACTGGTGAAAACTGCACATCGATCTTTCTTAGTTTCAAAGTTAGTATTGAACTGATTTTTTTTCTACGACTATAACACAAAATTGCCCTTGTTTTACTGTGTTCGAAAAATCAAAGAGGTACTTTGTTTGTCATCAATTTCATTTCCGTATCTGATATCACATCCACATCAATGACTCCATTGTGTTATTATTTCACAAAATCTCATCGCCCATGGAATGTCAAATTCCAAGCAATGGCATCTCTGCCTAATGGATGAGGATTATTTGTCTGTTATCTATTATATAGCCGTAGAAAAAGTATAGTGTATTAATCGCACAGCTCATGCTGCAAACTTCATTCTCGTGGGAAATGACTATCATTATGTGCTCGTTAAACAATGTACTATTTTTGGCTAAAATTTCTCATTTTGATTGATTATCAGGCACTGAACTCAATCTTACAATATCTGGTTCGAAAATAGAAGCTGATATTGTTGAGGAGGAGGATAGACAGAGATTAGTGTTCGCGGAGTATATATTTCCCGAAGAAGAATACTCATCAACAATTCCAAGACTAATCATTTCACAGTCTTTTGAACTTCATTACAAGACATGAAAACAAAATCGTAACTGGTGTCATCGTCCCTTTGTCCGGCTTTCTTCTAGCTTGTGCAGACTATTTAGATTCGTCATTACTTTCACGAAGATTCCAATAAATACGTCACAATACATGCATAATATATAAAAACACAGGTTATGTAAAAAAGCCGACAACAAAGTCTAGATGCTTCCAAAGTCAATCTTTGACTGAAAGAGTAAAAGCTCCTCAACGAAGATAAATAGAGAAATATTGAATATTTTCCTCAGAAGTCACACTATGGGAAGTATTTCAAGAAAGAATGCCAGATATTGAAAATAATCAATGAAAGCTTATTGCCTACCGTCAAGATCTGACTCGGTTGAAATAATTTTCAACGGAATGCAATTGTATGTGAAAGTTCAATTTTATCGTATATATAAGTATGTATAGTAATATCCATGACAAGGATTTTCGCTTCATGTTCGAATTATTTGTCACATTGCCCTATTCATATACCGCTGATGCTCTTAGATTTCATCCAGAGAAGAGCTATTCGCCTGGTGGGTGATGCCACACTCACTAACTCTTTGACGCCATAAGAACACAGTAGAAAAGTCGGCGATCTTTCACTTTTCTATAGATACTTCCACGGGAAATGTTCCTCAGAAATCTCTGCTATAATTCCATCACTAGCAATACCAGTCAGACGAAATCGACAGGCCCAGTCAGCACATCCCTTCGTCCTACTCGAAGAGATAAAAAAAAAGAAAATGTATTGATGGAAAGAATCTAACAACGAATTCATTTCTCCACCTTAGAAAATATTGACCGGGGAAATTGACTAATTCCTCTCGGATTACCCCTTCAGTGCATGTGGATGATTTTTTTTTCCTTAAAGAGAGTCCTACAAAGCGGTTTCGGGCAATTGAATCTTATTAAGTAGGGAATTAGTTGTTTTTATCGCGATATCGACCACTTTTGTTTATTCATTTGAACTTGGTGTGTTGACTGTTGGTCGATTATTCCACTTTGAGAATTTGGGGTTTCTCGTAGATAGTTGATATTCGGTAATGTTTTGCAATAAATTTGCACTACCTACAACGGACCTCAATGTGTATTGAACATTTTCGAGATATTCCATCAAACATCAATGAAATCCATTAGGGTTGCCTGATCGACGTTTCAATCACCAATTTATAGGTGGTAATATCAATAAAATGAATAAATGGCCACAGCATAGACCAGAGTATACATAGAAGCCGATCTGCAATAATCATTATTCTAACGAGCTTCGTCATGCTAAATTAATTTTCATTCCTATACGTGTATGTATAATTTTGTTCAATCATTTTTCATGTTACTCTCCACATATTATTATCAATTATTGAATAATAATTATTCATTCAACTATATCTCCAGCAGGTGAGGTGAATGACATGTCTTCCCTTTGCGAAAGTCGACATATAAAATAAATTAGGATTCTTCAAAAGTAAAAGGAAAAGGTTGCTGATTATCCTGCAGTGTTTTGAAAATTTCAATGTTCTATTCTAGTGCTGCCAAGATCTGTGGCTTGTTCACATAAATGTGCGATTTCGAATTACCAGACAAAAAGGTCTGAAGCAGTTAGATCGGGCGATCTTGCTGGACAAAGCATCACCAAAACGACCAGGATACATCGCACGCAGAATATCTATACTGCATTCATTTATGTAATGTATTATATATGTCTGTTTCCTTCGTAAATATCAAAGTCACGATGACAGATGCCTCTATTTTGCAAAAATAAGATCATCTTCTAGTATAGGGTGATTACTTTTTGCCATTTTGTTACTTGATGATGCGAAAATTCAGACATATTCATGGGTGAATATAAAAAAATATGTAATATGTACCAATAATACAATAATTATATCGTATTGAGTGTTGTTTACTACCTAACTTTATACTCAATAATTATAGAGGATGATTTTTGGACTTTGTATGTTTGCATCATGAATTTGTAGATGCTTATTTTGAGGATATATAGGTAAAGGTAAGGTATGAGTTTGAGTTGGTATGAATATACTCTCATGGGGTGGCGATGAAATTTTTCGAAATTTTATTCAAAAATATGAAAGAGGATGCAGTTAGGTAGAAAGAAGCACCAAGTGTTGAAACTCGTAAAGATACGGTGTTTTCGAGAAAAATCGACTACCCAACTTCAGTTCTAAAATTTAACGTAGATGTCCGAGGATGTCGTATAGTCCATTCAAGACATCTGTTCAGATTACTCTATAACCATGATATATATCATTCTGTGATTGGGGCACTATGCCAGTAACATAACAGACTACATTTTGAGATCTTTTCATTTTCTTGAGACACTCGTCGAAGTGCATCCCACATATTTCAAAAAACCCTGTATATTTTATAAACCAACAAATTTTGCCTCGATGAAAACCTCGTAAGACGATACAACGACTTTCCCATGTCAAAGATTCCAGAAAAAAACGCGAATATCCCATTTCCTGGAGAAACAAACCTACCTCAATCAATGAAGACCTCGATCAGATCGCAACCTAGGCCCTACAGTCTCCTACACACTTCCAAAGCATCAATCTTACCCGTCCTCGTCCGTAGACTCGCGAATCTCGCGATCATCATCCTCATCACTATACACCTCCAAAAAGTGGGGAACTCGATTCTCGATCCACGCGGCTCCCCCACATCTATATAAAACGACTCGCCTCCAACCGCAGACACCAGTACGTCAAAGAAGCTAGGTCATACTCACCGCACAGTGTGTCAGTAGCAGGTCCGACGAACACGCGTGACCCACATTCCCGCCCGGTGAAACCAAGTACTAAAGACTGATACTTACCCCGTCAAGTGATAATTATTTGTGATAACCTAGTTCTAAGTGCCGCCATGCCGCAAGACACAGAAATCGAAACCGAAGACAGCCTCATCTCTTCCGCGAAGCTGATGGAAACCAGAGACAGCATCTCCTCCATAGACAGCGATGTATCCCTCTCGTTCGACAAAACCGTTCGATCAGCTGCCGAGCACGAAGACGAGACCTCCCACCTGGCCGACCTCAGCGACTCAGCTTCGGACACCGGGGGCAAAGACTCTGGCTGCGAGGTAACCCCCGAAATCACCGAACCGCCTTTCACGCCTCCCAACGACGAACTGGCCGACAAAATCAACCAACAAGTGGAATTCTACTTTTCCGACGCCAATATCACCAAGGACGCTTTCCTGCTGAAGCACGTCAAGCGCAACAAAGAAGGCTACGTCTCTTTGAAGCTGATTAGCAGCTTCAAGCGCGTCAAACACCTGACCAAAGACTGGCGAGTTGTGGCGCACGCTCTCGCCAGATCTGACAAGCTGGAGATCAACGAAGCTGGGACGAAGCTGAGGAGACTAGAGCCTCTGCCTCAGTACGACGAAACCACACCTTCTCGGACAGTCGTAGCTGTGCACATGCCCATAGAGAAGCCTACGATAGAGAACGTGGCTGAGTTGTTCAAGGCGTGCGGGGAGATTGCTCTGATCCGGATTCTGAGGCCCGGCAATCCTGTTCCGGCCGATGTGAGACAGTTCATCAATAAGAATCCCTCGCTGGCTGGTATGGTGTGCGCCCTGGTGGAATTCGTTAATTCGGAATCGGCGAGGAATGCGATTCAGCTTCAGAACGTGCTCGAAGCTATGAAGGTGTACGAGCTGAATAATGTGCCGCATCCGGAGAGGAAGAAAAAGGCGAACAGTAAAAAGAGCAATATGAGTAGCAATGGTAGTATTATGAATGGCAAGAACTCGGCTTCGGAATCGGACTACATTTCGTCGTCTTGTCAGAGCGGGTCTGAAGCTGAGGATGGAAAGAAATTTGATCTGAAAGGTGAGTACTTACAGAGAATTACGGAATGTTCCTTGTTCATAAAGTGGTACCTAGTTTAATTCCTTATTTTCATCAATTATGTTTCTAGAATCATCTTCATTGAATCATTGAATGAGTATGTAATACCTTTTTGAGACATAGAAGTTGAATCATAGAATGAATATAAGAGAATAGTCATTTGAGTACCTTGTACCTACTTCAAAAACCTTACCAAAATTCGAGTGAGAATCTGTATTTACAAAATGATTTATCCTAGGAAATATCTTATCACATATTACCTCGCATATTACCATATTAAGTACTTATTGGATTAGTCACGGATAATTACACAAATAGCATATATTATGATAATTTTCATAGTGATATCATTCTGAACCTACACTTACCTATAGTGATAAGATACTTAGTATAATAAGTATCTTCAAAATAGTGCAGTTGACCTTCAACTATTTTTATCGCAAAATAATAGTAAGTAATTCAGTTATATATGGTTGTAAGTTTTGTAAGTAAACAGAACTTATGAACAATACCTACTCCGAGACCTACTCAATCTATGATCATATATCTTGAAGGATTAAGTCGAGGATTTCAAGATGAAATATACAGGGTGTTCCTAAAAGGTCTTTACAAAAAAAACACATAATCCTCAGACCAAAAAAATCCAATTGGCATAGCTTCATTGGGCAACAGAACCCATATCATGAATATGATGAATATCATTCCATTGGCGTAGAACTTGATTTTTTCAGTAGATAAACATCTGATGAAACTTTTACGCCAATGGAAAGAAAAAGATTTGAATATTAAATTCGGATTGCGTAACCTGTTTACTACAAAAAAGGTACTCTTGATAAAATTCGATTACTCATCAAAATTTGAATTTAGGTCATTCAAAGCATTAGTCAACACTAAAACGAGGAAATGATGAACATTTCGAAGATTTTCATGGAATATCTTTTAATCTTTTCAATATTGACTGATGCTTTGAATTACTAAAACTCAAATTTTGTCGAAGCCATGAGAGAAATCCTTCTTTTCATTGGCGTAGAAGTTCTAGATTTGCATTCACTGAAAAAAATTAAGTTCTGCACCAATGGAATGACTCAGACAGCACAGAATATTTTATGAATTTTTTGCAATTCCGCCAGTGGCGTAGAATTGGGGAGGGATCAACCAGTCACTTGACCCTGTCGTAAGCCTCTGGCACTAGCCAGAAATGTTCATTTAACATAATTTAGTATATAGGGTGTATACCTAATACTGCCACAGATTAACAAACCTTTTTTAATCTGTGGTACTGCTTATACACTCTCCACCAAATATGATAATAATACGTCGAATAGTTTCAAACTCGGTTTCAAAGTATTGGGCACAAATGATTTTTAAATTTTCAAATAAAACACCATGTAACCCAGGCAGTCTATAGTTGAAATATTTCCAATTGGTAATAATGAATCACCCTGTATTTGTACGTCCTCTATATATGGCCATTTTTTTCTTAAAAAAATCCAAATATATTGAGATTGTTTATTGTTATTGTAGAATCTATAGGTAGAGTATGATCAATGAACCAAACGATAGGTATCAAAATATTGAAAATAATAATAATAATCTCTGAAAGTCTCATTGGATATACAGTCGCATTAAAAAAAAAAAGCGTTCAATAAGTAGTATATTACAGAGAGAAATTACCGTCACCCTATTCTGCATAAAACGGGCTATCGGGAATGATTGTTCACCAAATGTTGACAGTAAAGTTGTCATAGGGTGGTCATAGGTTCTCGAAAACACAAAGAATTGGCTGAGCCAATTCTACACAACTAGAACTAGGATCCCGAAATCCTCTCTTTTTAATACTTGTACGCTTTTTTATTGAATACGACTGTACATCAGATTTTCAAGAACTCTATCAATGAAACTAGGATCACTGAGAAATGCAAGAAGTCGGATATATTTTACACCGAGTTTTACACCTACCAAGGCGTAGTAGCCACCTTTATAATAAGATAAGTAAAGTGTTATATTTTAAAATAAGAGTACTCACCAAATTATCAAAATGGAATGGAAATCGTCTCCTGTTCTCTCCATCATCGCCGTTGTTATGATATTTCTCTGTATAAGAGCACTTTTAACACACACGAATGGCGCACAAGAGTCTCACAAAATAAATACCACGCTGATTTTGGAAATTGAACTTAAAAATCGAATTCATTTTCATAATTCATAGTATTCTAAAATTCAAAATTGAATTCAAATCAAACGCTTCAAGTGAAAGAAAACAAATGCCACACGGTGACAGACGTCAACGTCAAACTTCTTCTTCTTTCTTCTTCTTCTCCGATGAAAGATAGTCCTTTGCTTAATATCGATATTACTCAACATAAAAATAAAATAATCTGATTTTCTCAATTTTCAGGTAAAATGAGACGTGGATCATCCGCCCACTTTCCCTCCCGTTTTATCGAACCTGCCGCATGGCTGCAACGTCGTCTTTCAGCTTCCAGCACCGAAGCTAACTTCATCTACATGCCACGCCGTCTCTCCTACGGCAGCAGAGACTCGAGCGAATCGAGCCTGTTTTTATCAAGGAGAATGAGCGCCTGCAGCATCTCCAGCACCGATTCCTACAACCGCAGAATGTCCACAGCCAGCCAATGTTCCGAGTACAGCAGCCCTAGATCGCGGAGCAACAGTTCCGCATTTCAAAACACTGAGAACGTGCTCAGATTACCGAAAGGTCCTGACGGCAGTCGAGGCTTCAGACAGAGGTTGCCCACAGTGGCGCAGTAGGTTAGACGCAACAGGGCGTAGTAGGTCAAAGAAACCGTAGGCTTTGGAATTTCGGGATTGTCGTTTCAAACGTCAGTTTCGTATGCCGTGGACGCTGGATTAAGGTATTCAGTAGAGTAATATTGAGATTATTCCAGAAAAAAAAACTGGGTATGGAATTGTTCAAACAATAATATCGGTATCAGTTATTAGTTGGCTTATGTTGAAAACAATGGGTGATCAAATTGTTGCATTATGGAAAAATATGATCAGTGGAACACGATAGCTCTGAAGCATATTGTGATTAAATGTTCTTCTATCATTCCGTCGTTCATTTATCATTAATCACAAGAACTATTTTCATCAAGAGTTCGAATAGGTTTGTATTATAAATATGCTAGAATCAGAAAGTGTAGTTATATCATTATTACGGCCACGAATTACGGCATAAAAATTCACAAATGTGTTTACTAAAATGTATTATATTGATGATATGGACAGATATACACGAAATATACTGAAAATGGGATTATTATTATCTTTCCACACATTAATAATATTTTCAAGATATTGTTACCGATCACCTCGCATTATTCATATAGAAGATTCTAATTCCATTCATATCAAGGAAGGTCAATTGGTGAAACAGGAAATCATAAAAAAGGTTAGCATTCAGGAAGTATTTACACTAGAAGTTGACCCCGCATCAAGATGTGTTGCCGATTAAATAAATAGGTAGGTGTAGGCATTATAGGTATCAATGTAATCAAATTAATACATATCTCTCCTTTATTTTTCATTTTGATAAGTGGTTGAGAAATACAATTATCAAGAATTAGGTATCGGGATTCCAGTTCATAAATAATAACTACCTATACTTTTTATAAATAAGTAATACATCATCTATTTCCTATCGATAAACAAAAAAAATCAATGTCTATTTATCTAAAAACAATGACCCTGTAGTATAGCAATTCAATAACCAGATAGCCAATTCACAGATTACATATAATATCCGATTCAAGGCATCCTTGAAGTGTTATGTCCATATATTATCGAATAATAGTTTTTTATCGTCATCATTCATATTTCTTGAATGTTGATTGTTTTGCAGAAGGAACAAGGTGAAAAGCTTCTAAAAGGGATAGGTGAATCTGATTATACTCTATCTAACCTCTCATTTTATATTTGAATCATTTTGGATACCTCTTGGAATAGTGGTTTTTTACTCAATTTGTACTGAGAATTGGGGGTGGTAAAAAATCTATAGTCCATAGAACACGACCCTTTTATTGGAAACGAGGAGTAGATCTAGTATTTATAAAATCACAGCTGAAGTTTAAAATTGTGTAACGATTGTATAATGGGTATTTTAACTATAATTTTTTGAAACTCACCACATGATCAAAAATGAAAAAAATACAAGATATTGAAGATTTGAAATCGGTAAGAGAAAGGGTGGATCTATATTTTCTGAGAACTAATAATAATTATATTCCTTTCGAACCTACCTTGATGAGAGACTGCATTCTAATAAGCTTTTAGTATGTGCGGCCTACATTTCTATAATCGTACTTTCACCGTCAAATAAATGTACAGTTCGATGTATTAATAAAAACAAATAGAATAATCCAGAAATTTCTCTATTAAACCGGCGGTATCATTATAATTCCGTAAACGTTACGCTTTTTAAATTTTAGATCGATGTGAAATGTGGGAGAATGGAAATGTGTCTACTAATTTGTTTTGCGAGAATGTCCGTTACCTTATAATAAGTAACAGGAATTTTGAAAAAAACAACTTTTAAGAAGTTCAAAACGGTGAAATCAAAAAATACAATGGAATGTTTATTTTCTTAACAAAAATCATTTCATTTTTTTACGAATCATCAGAGACTAGATAGGTAATATTTATAACAGTTTCTAACAGAGAGATGTTTGTTTTTTTTTGTTCCTATAACAAAAACGACGCTGTTTCCAATTATCCTAATCACAATCTCTTTGGTGAATGAACCCTCTGCAGAATAAATTAAAATTATCAAAAGAAAATAACTGCACTTTCTATCCTGGCTCGATGTAATATTCATAATGCTTCACCTATTAATTTATTGTGGCCAATTAATTATTGATAAAATACATCGTTATAATGTCTAAAGATAGGCTGGTTATATACCTACATCCGTTTTGTTTTAAAAATGGACTATTTCTACCACTATGATGAAAAAAATAGGGAAGTAAATATGTGGATCATATCTGAAAGGTAACATAGATCCTGTATATTTTTTTAATTTATTACATATGTTACTTGATAGGTAAATGTAAATTATAGTTTAGGATCAGCAGTTATGGCTGTTTTGCACTTTTACCTGTGCTTTTACTTAAAAGTCAAGTAGGTACCTTTACGCTGAGTGATTCCACTACTGATTACTACTTGTATGTATGTACATGCGTTTTTCATTTCTTCTGATGTATAGTACCATTAGAAAGTGTATTTATTAGCAATTATTTATTATTTTGAACGTAAAATAAAGTGTATTTTATATAACCAATTGTATTTATTCGCCAAGGACGAACATATTATCTTGTTTTTCCAAGTTTCGGTGCTCAAGATTTTCAATCTACTATCTTGATTGAGATTCATCACCATTATGTTTGAAACAAAACTGAATGGTGAATCACAAACACGACCTACCTGTTCTACTTCTCAATCTGCTTCAAATCCACAACACAGCCATTTATTTGCTACCATTATGCCGGAAATACTTCCGTCATGCGATAATGAGCTGAAACAAAAAGCAAATAAAAGGGACTAATGTCCTCTTTGCGAATATCCAAACGTGCCACTATTCAAACTGATCTAAGTTGGTGGCAGAGCGACAATATTTCTCCCCTCTCGAAAGATAATATCCGATGGATCAGTATAAAACTCATGTGGTGCTCGTACTACAAGTATTCAAATCCACATGTTGTTGAGTTTTACTCTGGTCCATCGGATATAATCTTTCGACAGGGGCGAAATACTCTCAGAAATATTGATGCTCTACCACTAACTTGGATCAGTTTGAATCGTGTCACGTTTTGAAAATCGCAAAAGATACATTATCCCCTTTTATGTGATATTTGTTTCAACTCGTTATCACATGACATAAATCGCTGTGCCGTGGATTTGACGTTTTATAAAAAAATATTGAAATCCCCGATTTTTCGGAACGATTTTTCGGACCTCTGAAAACGAGGCGATGATGTGACGTCAAAACCTTAATACTGAAACAAGACTATTCCAGACAGAGATGAAAGATACATGATTTCTGACAGAGTGAATCAGCGCGAGATCACAGTTGAAAGAATTAATAAATCAGTTGCCTCAGTCTCCGTCGGGAGTTTGGTATTTTCTTTTAACTATGGCGAGATGAGGTTTCTACGTCATAAGAGGGTCCGTTTTCAGAAGTTACTATTGATTATGTCCAAAAATAATAAATTAGTTAATTTTTCGATCGAATTATGTCGTCAATCATTATTTATGTATAAAAGGATCATTATAAACATGGTTTGAGTTAAAAGTTCTACTAAGGTGTACACGCCCATTGCTATCGGATAGCATAATTTTTATTTCATTATCGTTAAATTGAGTGCAAATTACCGCACAGGAAAGTGCAATTCTTCAATTATTTTCCTCAGGGACATAAAATGTAATTTCGTGATAAGATGACGGTCTAAATTCGCGGACGGCATGTTTACTATTCTTGCCGGTCTGCGAGAGATGCAGATGATAATATCGGAGTAACTGTAATCCGGGCAAATAAACCATAAGGTGGCACGAATAGAAGGCGCATAGCACAATGGCAGGCAATTTCTCTTTTCCGTACCAATGGTTTTGTGCAATGTCAAGCGCAACGCGAAATGTTGAACTTGAATGTCTGCCGGAATGAAAGTCAAGAATGAAGAAGCAAGACGTTATTCGACACGCGTCAGTGACCCTTACAAGATACTGATGATGATGGCCACGCTAATGATGATGGTACGGCATGTCTTTCGCTTCTGGTCAGGCGAAAGCAACGATTCAAAAAGAAAAGTTCGGAAATTATTTTCAAGCGACTGAAATTTTTTTGTTATTTTTACAAGATACTGATGTTGATGGCCACGCTAATGATGATGGTACGGCATGTCTTTCGCTTCTGGTCAGGCGAAAGCAACAATTCAAAAAGATAAGTTCGGAAATTATTTTCAAGCGACTGAAATTTTTTTGTTATTTTTACAAGATACTGATGTTGATGGCCACGCTAATGATGATGGTACGGCATGTCTTTCGCTTCTGGTCAGGCGAAAGCAACGATTCAAAAAGAAAAGTTCGGAAATTATTGTCAAGCGACTGAAATTTTTTTGTTATTTTTACAAGATACTGATGATGATGGCCACGCTAATGATGATGGTACGGCATGTCTTTCGCTTCTGGTCAGGCGAAAGCAACGAATCAAAAAGAAAAGTTCGGAAATTATTTTCAAGCGACTGAACATTTTTTGTTATTTTTACAAGATACTGATGATGATGGCCACGTTAATGATGATGGTACGGCATGTCCTTCGCTTCTGGTCAGGCGAAAGCAACGATTCAAAAAGAAAAGTTCCAAGCGACTGAACATTTTTTGTTATTTTTACAAGATACTGATGATGATGGCCACGTTAATGATGATGGTACGGCATGTCTTTCGCTTCTGGTCAGGCGAAAGCAACGATTCAAAAAGAAAAGTTCGGAAATTATTTTCAAGCGACTGAAAATTTTTTGTTATTTTTACAAGATACTGATGATGATGGCCACGATAATGATGATGGTACGGCATGTCTTTCGCTTCTGGTCAGGCGAAAGCAACGATTCAAAAAGAAAAGTTCGGAAATTATTTTCAAGCGACTGAACATTTTTTGTTATTTTTACAAGATACTGATGATGATGGCCACGCTAATGATGATGGTACGGCATGTCTTTCGCTTCTGGTCAGGCGAAAGCAACGATTCAAAAAGAAAAGTTCGGAAATTATTTTCAAGCGACTGAACATTTTTTGTTATTTTTACAAGATACTGATGATGATGGCCACGCTAATGATGATGGTACGGCATGTCTTTCGCTTCTGGTCAGGCGAAAGCAACGATTCAAAAAGAAAAGTTCGGAAATTATTTTCAAGCGACTGAACATTTTTTGTTATTTTTACAAGATACTGATGATGATGGCCACGCTAATGATGATGGTACGGCATGTCTTTCGCTTCTGGTCAGGCGAAAGCAACGAATCAAAAAGAAAAGTTCGGAAATTATTTTCAAGCGACTGAACATTTTTTGTTATTTTTACAAGATACTGATGATGATGGCCACGTTAATGATGATGGTACGGCATGTCCTTCGCTTCTGGTCAGGCGAAAGCAACGATTCAAAAAGAAAAGTTCCAAGCGACTGAACATTTTTTGTTATTTTTACAAGATACTGATGATGATGGCCACGTTAATGATGATGGTACGGCATGTCTTTCGCTTCTGGTCAGGCGAAAGCAACGAATCAAAAAGAAAAGTTCGGAAATTATTTTCAAGCGACTGAACATTTTTTGTTATTTTTACAAGATACTGATGATGATGGCCACGTTAATGATGATGGTACGGCATGTCCTTCGCTTCTGGTCAGGCGAAAGCAACGATTCAAAAAGAAAAGTTCCAAGCGACTGAACATTTTTTGTTATTTTTACAAGATACTGATGATGATGGCCACGTTAATGATGATGGTACGGCATGTCTTTCGCTTCTGGTCAGGCGAAAGCAACGATTCAAAAAGAAAAGTTCGGAAATTATTTTCAAGCGACTGAAAATTTTTTGTTATTTTTACAAGATACTGATGATGATGGCCACGATAATGATGATGGTACGGCATGTCTTTCGCTTCTGGTCAGGCGAAAGCAACGATTCAAAAAGAAAAGTTCGGAAATTATTTTCAAGCGACTGAACATTTTTTGTTATTTTTACAAGATACTGATGATGATGGCCACGCTAATGATGATGGTACGGCATGTCTTTCGCTTCTGGTCAGGCGAAAGCAACGATTCAAAAAGAAAAGTTCGGAAATTATTTTCAAGCGACTGAACATTTTTTGTTATTTTTACAAGATACTGATGATGATGGCCACGCTAATGATGATGGTACGGCATGTCTTTCGCTTCTGGTCAGGCGAAAGCAACGATTCAAAAAGAAAAGTTCGGAAATTATTTTCAAGCGACTGAACATTTTTTGTTATTTTTACAAGATACTGATGATGATGGCCACGCTAATGATGATGGTACGGCATGTCTTTCGCTTCTGGTCAGGCGAAAGCAACGATTCAAAAAGAAAAGTTCGGAAATTATTTTCAAGCGACTGAACATTTTTTGTTATTTTTACAAGATACTGATGATGATGGCCACGCTAATGATGATGGTACGGCATGTCTTTCGCTTCTGGTCAGGCGAAAGCAACGAATCAAAAAGAAAAGTTCGGAAATTATTTTCAAGCGACTGAAAATTTTTTGTTATTTTTACAAGATACTGATGATGATGGCCACGTTAATGATGATGGTACGGCATGTCTTTCGCTTCTGGTCAGGCGAAAGCAACGATTCAAACAGACAAGTTCGGAAATTATTTTCAAGCGACTGGACAATTTTTGATATTTTCACAAGATACTGATGATGAATATTTTTAAATTGATTCCACTCGAAAATGGTACATCTGATCGATGCGGAACAAGAGCACCTCTTTTTGTGAAACTGTGTGGATTTTTATAATCCGAGATTAAATTGTCGAAAAATATGCATACAGAAAAGTTTGAGCAATATTCAATGTATGTAGTCCCACTCCTGAATAGAACTTTAGAATGATTTTATGTTCACCGCATTGGGCATGGAAATTTTAGTCCTTGTACCAAATTGCATCACGTGGCGTTTCGGAAACATTCAAGAAATATCATCTTCAGGTAGCTCGCTAAGGAGACATTCCTCGACTCATGTTCATTGTTACTTTTCTTCCTATTTTTGGTCGAAGAAACCGCTGTATGATGAAGTCGAATTACTTATTGAAATTGCTCAGTAATCATGAGGAATCGAAGTGCTTAATGTTCGAGATTCCAGAGCACTTCTCAGGAGTGCTTTTAGTGCTTGAAGCACTTCTCGTCAGTGCTCAGTACTGCTCTGAGAAACAATGAATTGGTGGTAGAGGTGTAGATATACCAGTATAATTTGGTATTTTTTTATATTAAACAGCCGATATTTTTGGAATAATTCGAAATATTCGTTTTTTCATAGATAATACATTTATTAACATTATTGAAATACAAACCAAAAAATAACACCTGGTTCTAACTGTGAATTGAATTACAAATTACGCTTTTCTGAATTAAAATTGATGTTTACCTGAATTGTCTATAAGCTAATCTGAATATAATATTGTAGTTAGAAAAAAGATTAAAATAATAACAATTGTTTCGGATACAAAAGCATGCAAATGGAAAAGTATATTCATCTTCTGTATCGATAGCGCTTGAAATGGAACCACAACTGGAAGATATTGTTGTGGAACTGACATCTGAACCCTCTCTTGTACGAATATTCCCACTCTCTGTTCACAATCTTGAAAGCAATGTCTTCATATGGCGGACCGGCATGGAATCGAAGAACGGCGAACTCTTTGTTATCCGGACATGGGGTCTAATAAATATAACATGCTCAGTCATTTTAGTCGATAATGAACAACCAAAACAATCATCCCAAAATTTGATTCTTCCAATGAACTGTATTCATTAGTTTATTTTTTCAGGTGGAAATCGCATTAATCGGTTTTTTTAATGTCACTCTACCTGACGGTAACAACTTGAACTCTGAGCGGTTTGTTTTGATGATGTGACCAATAAGCACAAATAAAAAACAAATGTGAACCAATGAAAACAAAATAAACATGCCGCTTTGACAGCTTTCAAGAACTTCGATAGGTGACGTACGCTTAATTTCTATCGCGAATAATGATATTCTTTTCTTCAGGAACTGACATATTTCACTTGGACTGAACTGAATCAGTTAACATGCATTCTAATTAATGAAATTCTTTCCAGAGAACACATAATAATTTATTCAGTTCAAATTTATCGTTTGTGAAGTTTTTACATTTATTCAGTTCAGTCCAAGTGAAATATTGCAGTTAGTTCAGATTATAATGATGTGATATGCCTATGTCATAAATGTCATTGACTGATAAAACCTTTCAAATTTTTTAAATGAAATTACAGATTATACCTATCATACTTATTTTGACATATTTTGTTAATGTTGTTAATTTCACCCTCTAGTTGAATTGAAAAATAGTTCAGTGGCACAAACTACATATTAGACAAGGAAAGATTTATCCGAGGGAAAAACCACGGTCAAAATTGTGTACACCAAACTTCAATTCATCAAAGAATTCCAAGCAATTCCAAAGAATTTCAAGTTGTTTGTTTTTGTTTGTACACCAGAATTGTACCGCACTTCACACAAGGAATTTCAAGAAACTCCAAGGAATTCTAGAATTCCAAGGAAATCCAAGGAATTCCAAGGAAATTCAGGGAATTCCAAGGAAATCCAAGGAATTCCTGTAGTTTGTACACAAGAATTATACCACACAACACCCAAAAAATTACAAGGAAATCCAGAGAATTCCAAGGAAATCCAAGGGAATCCAAGGAATTCCAAGGAAATTCAGGAAATTCCCGTAGATTGTACACAAGAATTATACCACACTACACCCAAAAAATTCAAAGGAAATCCAAAGAATGCCAAGGAAATCCAAGGGAATCCAAGGAATTCCAGTTATAGACCAGGAATATACCGCACTTCACCCAGGGAATTCCAGGGAATTACAAGGAAATCCAAGGAATTTTCAGTGAAATCCAAGGAATTCCAAGAAAATTCTGGGAATTTCAAGGAATTCCAGTTGTTTGTACACCAGAATTCCACCGCGGTTTACCCCTTGGATTTATCGGACCTCTCTAAATTTCAATGCGGTCACGTTGGTAGCATTGAAGAGGAAGATGGAAGAGGAGAGAACTTTCCTCTCTCTCGTTCAAGGTATTAAAGTGCTCAATTTGAGAGGGTTTATTCTCAATTCAAATTTCCTTTTCCATGGAATCCGAGTTGGAACCAGAAAGAATTTCATAATTTTGTTTGGTGAAACTGTTATTATATTGTGGATGTGGCAGGAATGGCTTTATTCAAACATTTTAACAATTAACACCAATAAAACTGAATATATAATATTCCATCAAAAAAATAAAAAGAATATTAGTCTCAATCTCCAAATTAAAAATAAAGTATTGAAAAGAACTACACAAATAAAGTATCTTGGTTTGTGGATTGATGAAAAATTGAAATGGGACAAGCATATAGAGGTTCTGATACAAAAAATATCTCCAATCATTGGAGCTTTGCGAAGATGTCCTAAACTTGACAAAAAAGTCATAAACATAGTACTTCATTCTCATATACTCAGTCGTATTACCTATATGATAAACGTTTGGGGATTATTTCAGTAAAATATCTGCACTTTATAAGAAAGCACTGAAAGTATTGTATCGCCTCTCATTTGATATTCCAACAAATGATCTGTATGCGATAACAGAAAAATTTTCATTGGATGAATTATATAAAATAGATTCTCTTAAAGTTTCATATAATATAATAAACAATAATCTGAAATCCAATTTTGTTTTGGTAAGAAACTCAGAAATTCATGGTCATCACACGAGACAATTAAACTTATTTCATCTTGATTCTGCTACTTCTATAATTGGCCAAAAAAAATTTACTCACGCTGCTCTAGCTGAATTTAATAAATTACCACATAATATAAAAAATTGCAGACATATTTCAAAATTTAAAATTGAATTAAAAAAACACATGATTTCATTACGAAATGGATAAAATTGATACTTTGCCATCTACTGATTAGTCCCTGTGGCTATTTTTATGACTTGATCGATTTAGCATTTTTAGATTTTTTAGATTTTTATTGTTGTTGTTGTCACCTTATATTATTTTATTATTGTTGTTTGTAATCAACTTCCTCATACCAGAATTTTATTTCTGACTGGAAGCTAGTTTTTCAATGAACAATAAACAATATGTAACCTAACAGATAGTTTGTGTGCCCTTCAAGAAACCATGTCAAAATCACGTGTTCTAGAATGGTCAATTCTCAAATCAAAATTTTTTATTTTCAATTTGAAACTGTTTATTGTCAATTTGGGTGTGTATTTACTTACCAAATAATATTCGGGCGTTCCGCTCTTGTCGATGAGGTCGGGATAGAAGATGTTGAACTTGTACCCTTGCACAATCTTCGGCGGCGGATTGTCCATGTCGTAGTGCGTCTGGTTGTACTTGTTCCACTCGAAGCCGGTGTGCACGCGGTTGAAGTACCGCGGTTTTCGGGGCCGGTACTTGTCCGACCACAGGTACACGTGATCGGACAGGCAGTGCTCCACGGAGAATTGGGCCTCGTCGCCCGACATGCCTTTGCGCGCCTCCTTTTGCAGCTGGATCTCTTCTTTCGTGATGACATTCTGTGGAAACCATACGAATAATAATCTCTTTATTGCGAAACGATCAACATGGACACAGGAAACGTCAGAATTACAGAACAATCTTAGATACCTATAGCATTTACATCATCTGTTTAAAATTACATTTTAAAAATACATAATTTCCTACATAGCATTTACATCATCTGTTTAAAATTACATTTTAAAAATACATAATTTCCTACATGTTATAGAATTTTCTACCTCCACATTTCCTGAGTACATTTGAATTCAAAATATATCATTATAGTACATGTTGAAATGGGCGTGTACACCTTAGTAGAACTTTTAACTCAAACCATGTTTATAATGATCCTTTTATACATAAATAATGATTGACGACATAATTCGATCGAAAAATTAACTGTAATGTTTTATTTTTGGACATAAATAATAGTACCTTCTGAAAACGGACCCTCTTATGACGTAGAAACCTCATCTCGCCATAGTCGAAAGAAAATACCAAACTCCCGACGGAGACTGAGGCAACTGATATATTAATTCTTTCAACTGTGATCTCGCGCTTATTCACTCTGTCAGAAATCATGTATCATTCATCTCTGTCTGGAATAGTCTTGTTTCAGTATCAGGGTTTTGACGTCACATCATCGCCTCGTTTTCAGAGGTCCGAACAATCGGTCCGAAAAATCGGGGATTTCAATAATTTCTTATAAAAAGTAGGGAGCTCACAGCAAGAAACGGTTTGCGGTGGTGAGCTAGTTTGGGTGAGTTCTATCGAATTATGAAATAATTTTTTTTTGTGATATAAGCCCATTAATCTTCACATGAATCACACAGATAAACTAGGTACTTTACATTACAAATAAATAGTATTATTACAACCAACAGTTGAATGAGTAAAAACATTCATTTGAGCAAATTCAATGACTGAAGTTCTAAACCTCTTTGCATCCGTGATAGTTTTCAAATTTTGTGGTAAGGAATTGTAGGCTTTTATTGCATTATAATAGGAAGATTTTTGGTAATATGTTGTTTTGTGGTTGGGTATTGTTAATTCATTTGAGTATCTAGTGGTCGAGTGCATATTTGCAGAATATTGGTCGCTATTTCTGGGAAACAAATGCGGATATTTTTTTACAAAGCATACAAGACCCAAGAAGTACAAAGAAGGTACTGTCATGATCTCGAGTTCAGCAAAATGAGGTTTACAAGAGGCATTGCGATCTAGTTTCAGAATACATCTAATAATTTTCTTCTGTGAACTTGATGATGAGCCCCAGAAGATATGGTGTGTTACAATTTATTGGCCCACTCCACCCCTGTACTTTCGTATTCCTTGGGAGATTTGAGAATTATTTTTTTCTCATAATATACTATCGAGAATACTACTCAAAATCATCTACTTTGTCAAGCAAAAATAGTTATTTATTATTCAAGGGAAAAAAGTAGTTCAGCTACAGGTTGTGTGCAAAACCGTGAGCTAAAATCTAATATTTTTCGCGTGTATAATACACTATTTTTTTCTGTGACAGAAGAAAGGACGAATCAATATTGAGAAGATACGTGGGTGCTTCCATAAAAAATGCGACAAAATTTCATTTTTTCGAACTGAAAATTTTCCAGGAAAAATATTTGAATAGTTAATGAATTGGGCGTCCTGATTCCAAATCTGAAGTGATTTTCGACCTATTTTGTCTCCTAATATCATTTTCCGGAAATTGGGGTAGTTTCATGGCTGTTGGCGAGCAGTGTATATCACTGAAGATGACCCCACTTGGTCATAGAGTGCATTTTTGGTATATATCTCGCTCCAGCAAATTTCAGGATCCTCACCCAACGATTACGTAAGATAAAGATACAGGGGTGGTTCCATTTTAAATGGGTCACACTGTATATAATCTAAAGGTAGAAAAAATATCACAATATTTCTTCGTGTTGGGGATGCAATCAAAATTTTGGCCTCAAATGAGAACTCTTCGTTACATAGCCGAGCTTTCGGAAATATTTATTTCCTTTATCAAGATATCTATAAAAAATGGTATAAATAAAACACTTGTAGAAAAAACAGGTGGCGAAATATACTTACTATTTATTTATTTATTTATTTATTTATTTATTTATTGAACAAATAACTTCCAGACAGAATAGGCTCTGGTATAAGGAAGTACATAATTATATACCTATAGGTAAACATAGCATCATTCAAAATATATCAACAACTGTAAATTGGCAAACAAAGAATAATATTTGTAAAAAAAAATGGCATGATTAATTTTAACAAGTCCGCTGAGAAATAATCAGTTTTTTCACTTCATTTTTTAATATACCTATATTTCTGCAATTTTTTATATTATCAGGTAGTTTATTGAATTCAGTTAAGGCTGAATGAGTGAATTTTTTTTGTCCGATTAGGGAGCTAGCGGCGTCAAGATGGAACAAGTTATATTGTGGTGAGGCATTCATAATTTTCACAAAGCAGTATCACTGTCTATTTGGGCAAAAACACCGGTAACTCTGATTTTACAACAACAACAATATGCAAAAATATTACCCATCAACTTACTTCAACTTTTTTTCCGCTGCCGACAATTTGCAACCGAGCGAATTCCAACCGCTTCAGATCATCCTCTTCTGTCACAACTATCGTCCCTGGTTCCAGTTTGTCCGCACTCAAAAATTTAGGACTATAGCCACCGGTCTGGTAGGCATTGAAATACTCGTTGAGCATATCTTGAGCCGTTTCATCCTCGGATCTAAAATAAAAACAGAATTTTGCTCAACAAATATCAATCGGCTTTCAATTTGCAGACTGGACTATAATGGACAGTGTTTCGTCCTTGGTATATTAAAAAATTGTTATTGTTTATTGAGAATCTAGCTTCCAGTCAGAAATAAAATTCTGGTACAAGGAAGTTCATTACAAGCAACAATAATAAAATAATATAAGGTGACAACAACAACAACAAAAATCTAACAATGCATAATCGATCATGTCATAAAAATAGCCACAGGGACTAATCAGTAGATGGCAAAGTATAAATTTTATCCATTTCGTGATGAAATCATGTGTTTTTTTGATTCAATTTTGAATTTTGAAATATGTCTGCAATTTTTTATATTAAATTTAAATTAAATTAAATTTTTATAAAAAATTCAGCTAGAGCAGCGTGAGTAATTTTTTTTTGGCCAACTATAGAAGTAGCAGAATCAAGATGAAATAAGTTTAATTGTCTCGTGTGATGAATAACTATTTTAGTTAAATATCTATCAACACACTATCATTATTTTTTACCCCTTTTTAGCTTGCTTGAATTCCCCAATGTTGACCAAAGAATTATAATCTCCGACCCCGGAAACCCCAGATACAAACTTTGAACAGAATCGGATCATAATTACAAAACTCGTCCGCCATATGGATCCATCATCTTGAATTTCCTAATTTTCACGAAGGAATCATAATCTCCATCCCCGAAAACCCCCAGATACCAATTTTGAATAGAATCGGATAATATTTAAAAAATCCGCCATATTGGATCCGTCATCTTGAATTTCATATTTTCACGAATTTCAATACTTATTATCCTATTCCGGACTGAGAGAAATCCAAAAAATCCATATATCAATCAACTTTGATTTATATACATGTGGATAGATGATTATTTACCGAATGAAAATATTTAATGTAATGATCATGCAATGTAATGATAGCTATTAATGCACGAGAACGATGTAATTTACCAAAAGGCCAGTGTTGCAAACACCAATAAATAATAAAATTAAAAAAAACTCATTTCGTACTATTTATATTACAACATATTCCAACAGCCCATGAATTGTCTGAACAGAGATGTATGTCTGTACTTTCGACGCGTTGCGATTGAATGTCAATAGACCTTTTCATCTAGATATATTTTTAAGACGCATGCGCTCGTTTTTAGATCTAACAATTCATTGGGTAATGCGACGGTGAAGTCTCATTGGCTATAGTTCCAACACAAAATGCTGATTGGCCATTTCGAATATGGCGGGTATTATTGACGTTCTGTCAAATGTCAACAGTGTCAACCACCATGGGCATTCGTCATTGAGAAACAACAATAACAACATAGTATTCTTGTTTTTATATTCCTGGTGTGTATTAATTGTAAGTTGATGCCAAAAAACGTTAATTATTCGTTACTGAGGAGTGTGGTACTGTGGTGTAAGTGTTTCGGTGAAAATGGCCGCCACTGTTTTTGGATGCGAGATGTAAACAGAGATAGTCATTTGTCATCTAATTGAAAAGGCCTATTGAAATTTAATTTGAAACAACTCAAACAAGTATGTAGAAACATAGTAGAAACATAAATAACTTATTTATTATACCCAAGGTATGTGTTTCTATAGGCCGAGAATTCATATCCCAATGAAAAGTACCGGTCTTCATCTGTTTCATAATGAAAATCCGTGTTGAACAATGAACAATATTGATATATCGGTAGCAGATATCCAATTCGCGTATTGTAATACGTGAGTAGAAAAATGTTATTTTATAAATAATCTAGAAAATTACTAACCCTTCGTCGTCACTGCCACTTCTTTTATCTGCTTCTCCGGATATTCCAGGTTTCGGATCGGCTTCCACATGAGCCCCCTCGTGGTCACTCGACGGCGATTCACTAGCCGGAGCTGCGGCATTACTGACACTGACCCCCTGTTCCGCTTTCAACACTTGCAGCTTGCGTCTCAGACTCTCCTGGTGTCTGTCTCTCAAGCGGGCTCGCGCCATATGAGCTACACGAAGATACAATCGATATTATTCAAATTTGGTTTTCCAAGTCAATAGTAATCACCACAACCATACAACCAGACAAGCAGATCATTTTTCTGTCAAGAAAATTAAATCAGATATTGGTAAAAAATCCATCTATCACAATGGAATGATACAATACAATTCACTACCAAATATCTTGAAGCTGATTAATAGGATTGAAAAATTTAAAAGAGAATGGGGAAGACCACTGATTTTTCAAAACGACATTATCGTGAACTCTATACTGAAAAACTACCAGTGAATTAATTTTGAATTTTTTCATTCATGCTAAGACGATGAAAAAAATAAATTAGTATATGTCCATTTCAAAATATGCAATTCCTGCGCCATTTGAAATTTCATCAATTCATTGGTGTGACTGGTGCGACGTCTCAGTCCCAACACGCCTATTTTCCTTGAACTGACCAATTACACTGCAACACTGCAGAATGACGAGGTATCAGAGAGAGATAGCTACAGTTCGGGACTAATACGTCACGACTGCACCATCATATTTGGCTGTTTGAAATATGGAATGAAATATGCTGATTTCAAAACGATATAGATTCGATTCCCTTCAACTTCAACTCATAATATTGATTGTACATAAAATGTAAATCATGATTCGTTGATTGAAAGAGGTTTGCACGGATTTCTTTCCTCAGTGGTCTTCCCCATTCAAGAAACATCTACTCCTGTAATATTGACATCTTATCTCATTTTTATAGTTTTCTTGTACAACTACTATAATTTTCAATTGTGTACCTAACAGCTGAGTCAATTGAGGATCATATTTATTTGAACTTGAAAAAAAAAAGATTCTTTTTGAGTGTGAGTCTTATTTTACTGTCGTCTTTATTTTATTTTGTCAAATATATTTATGTATTCACTATGTTCCCTGCTATAAACAAATGTTGTTTCTTGGGAATAATAAAGTTGATTGATTGATTGATTCACGAAACCACGTAGGAAATGCGTTTCCTTACTCTAATGCCCCGCAATGGGCTTATATCACAAAAAAAAATTATTTCATAATTCCATAGAACTCATCCAAACTAGCTCACCACCGCAAACCGTTTCTTGCTGTGAGCTCCCTACGTTTTATAAAAAAATATTGAAATCCCCGATTTTTCGGACCTCTGAAAACGAGGCGATGATGTGACGTCAAAACCCTAATACTGAAACAAGACTATTCCAGACAGAGATGAATGATACATGATTTCTGACAGAGTGAATTAGAGCGAGATCACAGTTGAAAGAATTTATATATCAGTTGCCTCGGTCTCCGTCGGGCGTTTGGTATTTGCTTTTAACTATGGCGAGATGAGGTTTCTACGTCATAAGAGGGTCCGTTTTCAGAAGGTACTATTATTTATGTCCAAAAATGAAACATTCCAGTTAATTTTTCAATCGAATTATGTCGTCAATCATTATTTATGTATAAAAGGATCATTATAAACATGGTTTGAGTTAAAAGTTCTACTAAGGTGTACACGCCCATTGAAGTGGGACACCTGAAATTTTATTGTCTTCAGCATTGTCTGCTAAATATGGAGAAAAAATCTAGTGAGCTGTAACTACTGGTCTGCTCTATAGCTCAGTTGAGTGTATGACCACCAGAGGATGTTGCCGTATCGGACGAAATGATCTTCACTTTTTTCTAGAAAATTTTCGAAATTTGTGGTTATGTAAGTTGTCAGTGTTAAGAGCTGTCATGTCATCGTGACTTGTATTTCAATTCTCATTGTTCTGATATTCCTTTCGTTAATAGATATAGTTTTGTGTTGTGCTCCCAGTATTGAAGTAGTTTATTCTGATTGATAATTTGTTACAAAACTCTGTCTCTCAATTGTTCCTACCAGAAAGTGTGAAACCGTCTCTATTAATGTATTTCCAAGTGATATTTCTTTGCGACATAAGTGGATACATTCGATATTGAGTGGCTCATTACAAGTAAGATAATCAGAGCCCTAATCAAAAGCTAATAATCGATACTACTGATTCTACCTCTCATTTAATTTAGGTGTTGAACATTTACGAAATTGGGGACTATTGTAGTGTCCGTAGCAACCATTTTGAGAAGAAATGATTTTTTTAATTTTCGAGTTACTGAGTGACTATGTCGTGATACTGAACTCAAACTCACTGAACAAACTGCGCCGCCGGCCGAGACTGCCGAGAGCACCGCTGAGGAAGCTGCTCAACTCGTTTACGATTTTCAAGGTTATGTAGGTTTGACAGGAAAACAATTGAAATAAGTGTTCCTCGAGTTGACCGCATGGCGGCACTACTGTATCGGCCACAGAAACCTGTAGGTGATTTTCCTTGTTCGAGCAGACCAGATACTACAGCTCACTAGATTTTGTCTCTCCATATTCAGCAGACAATGGTCTTCAGAATCATGGATTCGAAAAACAAAAAAAAAAAAAAAGGGAGAATAAATATTTCACAGGGCGATGAACGGCACACTCGTTCTTCCGTCAAAGCTCTATCAGACGCATTTTACTTGGTCTCAAAACGAATACGACTAACGGTCCTGATGGAATTCCACCCATTATCCTAAAAAAATGTGCACCAAAATTGACACCTATTCTCTGCAAGTTATGTACCATCTCGTACAAAGCGGGTATATTTCCATCTTGCTGGAAGATAGCTAGAGTAGGAATAAAATATCCTGCATTTTATGAGTATCTTTGACAGTATTTTGACGTACCTTTCAACTGGGAATACAAGGACTCCCAGTATCCGATGTCGATGCCATCAGCCTTTCCGCTTATCTTGTTCTCGATCTGCTTTTGCAGGGCAGCCAATTGCACTGCCGTCTTCCCTTTGAAAACTGACGTCACGTCTTGGGCTACGGCTTGATGGATACCTTCTCTTCGATTCAGTCCCATGTCGTCCTCATTCTGCTTCTCCAACTGTAATTGAGATATTACAAAATCCTTGTTGAAACTAATGACGATTCGTATTATAAACTACTCTGCATAAAAATAACTCCTTTTTGCTTTATTGCAGGCCATGTAGCAACCCAAATTTGAATCTGAATGATGAATTAACTTATAGTTTGAAGAAAAATGTGATGAATGGTTCTGGGAAAAACAAACACTTTAGATTGTCGATTTTTACACAGGACAGTGCTATTGCAAATATTGTTTTTATTATTTGTTTTTTTTTTTTCAATATGAATCAGAAAATCATTTGGCAACTAATATGGTAGAGGTTCTTCTCACTTTTCAACCGTTGATGTCAAATTTGCAAAATAGTTAAGGTTATCATGATTCTCAACAATAGAATTAGATAGGTTGCCTTGAATTCCAATATCTCAGTCATGGTGGAGGTGAATTATTCATCAAAACCCTTTTTATGACTTACTTTTCTCAACTTTTGAAGTTCATCTTCCACAATGACTGTAATGTCATTCCAGTAATCCAGATTTTTGCCCCTCTCCAGTTCCTTATAGACCTTGATGTCTTCTACAAGGTCCTCCAAGTCTTTGATATGGAGGCCATTTAGGTAGGTATAGGGCTCGTGCATTTCTACTGCATCCACTTCTTCCTCTGCACTTATATATTTTGCAAGAAGATCGATTGGTTTTGCTATAAAAAATCAATTGAGAAAATATAATTCACATTTTGGACACCTTTTCTCACCTCTGCCATCTTGGATTCTGATGTGAGACCTCAATCTAGCTTGTTCCAGATGAAACTGATCTTCATGCCTTTCCCATTCCTCGAATTGAGCTGCTTCTTTACTCCTTTGTAAACCTTGAGTTTCTTCTTCTCTTCTTTGACGTTCCAACTCTCTCTCCTGTCTTCTTTTCTTCACCTGAACAAATATTATGAAGCTCAAATCGCAAAAAACACTACCAAGATTTCTAAAAATATTCTGTTTTGACAAATAGTACAAAAAAATGATCATGAATGTTTTACCTTTTCCAGCTCTCTTTTGTTCTCCTCCTGTTTGAACCTATTCCTTGCCTCCAATTCTTCATGTGTGACATCTGTGAGACCCTCCTTCAGCATCTTCTTGTTCCATACAAACGTCGACAGAAGATTTCCATCTCCAAAAGGATTATCGCTGTTGGTGTAATGAAGATATTCGTTGTCCCAGCCCATTCTTTCCTTTCTCGATCTTTCTTTGGCTTCTTTCTTCATCAAACGACGCAATCTGAAACACCAATCTCAATTTGTCCTATGTGAAAGATTAAAAAAATGTATAAAATTTGATAGAACAGAAAATATTTATCTATAGTGGCGAAGATATCTTAATTTTGATACCTACCACTTATTGCCTGTGACATTTTCTATGCAGTTGAGGTCTGAATATTGAGAATATTTTAAAATTTGTGAAATATAAATCAAAACAACTAATGGCTTATTATTTCAAATTCATTTACGAGATCACAATTATGATATTTTGTGAATATTACTTATTGTATATCGAAAATTCCTTTGCTGTTTCTAAGTAGAGATAAATCTTCCAATTGAAGAAAACGTGAACTACTATGTTATTGAAGATGACATTTTCAAAAATTCAGGCCTCAATATTTAAAAGAGTTGGTAGATAATTCAAATTAATATAAAATTCTCAATATTTGACTCACTTACCTTTCAGATTTTAAATTCACTTATCAAATACAAGCGAACTTCCACACATCACACCACATACAACATCCGAATATAACTGTATGTTGTTATATACAGGCAGACTGACAAAAAACGCGCCAAGCCATACCGCCGCTATCAACCATATCCGATTTTGGAAAACAAAACAGCAAATGAAATGATTCATCAAATACTACAAGGTGACACTAATAATTTTATTTCTTTTTTTTTCCAATTTCAACTCTAACGACAGCGATTGTCAACTTTTTTTTTAAATGGCATTGTTTATTTTTATTTTTTTCTGTGGATACAATGATGTGATTAGATGAAAAAAATTTGTGCTCCGTCGTCAAGAATTCAAGATGGCGGATCCAATATAGCGGAAGTTTTGTAATTATGGTCCGAATCTATTCAAAATTTGACTCTGGTGGTTTTTGGGGACAAAGATTATGATTCATTCGTCAAAATTTATACAATGCCATTTGAAAGAAAGAGTTGACAATTGTTGTCGTCAGGGTTGAAATTGAAAAAAAAAATGTTAGTGTCACCTTATAGTATCTGATGAATCATTTCATTTACTTTTTTGTTTTCCAAAATCGGATGGTTAATAGTGGAGCTATGGCTTGGGACCTTTTTGTATCAGTCATACGGTATTCTACATCAAGATGAAACTTTACTAAAAATTACAGATCAAGTATAATATGATTGTTGATTTTACCAAAAATATTATCAACATAATATATTGCTCAACTCTACTCAGAAACAGCTAGGGATAGAAAATAATTAAACTATATAGGCACTAAAGGTACTTAATTATTTTAGTCAACTTAATTATATTTGAAACATACATTTTATTTGTATTATCAAGAATACACTTTTGATGTTAATGTTGGGAGAGAAAATCTTTGAAGTAATTCCGAGAAGATGTACTTCACTCACCTTTTTTCTTCAGGAGTTTCAGTAGCTTTAATCAATTCTTTTTTCTTCTTTTTTTCTTCGGCAATTCTTATCCTTTCTTTAGTGAGTTTTTCCAAAAGTTTCACGGAACTATCAGATGAATTACTACTGTCACTCTCATTGCTGCTTGAAGTGTCTCTGGATTTTTTCTTGCCTTTAGATTTTTTTTTCTTCGATCTTTTCCTCCCAGACCGTCCTTCCGGTATTTTTTTCTCACTGCGCTCGTTATCCCTGCTCAATTGTCTATCTCTAGATACACTGATGGGGCTTTTAGAAGATGATCTGTATCGTCTAGAGTGGCTAGTAGACCTAGTTCTACACTCTTCATGAGACTTCGATAAATGTGAGCTAAGACAGAATAATTAGTTATTGATGTTTTCACTGTTTGCACTATGTGGTGAAAGAAAATATGAGAAAATGAACATAAACCAAAAATATTTATACAGATGAATACTAATTCATTAGCCGTTTGCTATACCGTTTAATAACATAATAGAAATGTTTTGGGACCAAAAAGTATAGATAGGCCTATTATATCCCTAAGTCTAAATTGTTGAAATAATTGAATTATTGATTTCTCACCAGCTCAGTCAGTTACCATAATAAATTTAGCTTGATATTGAAATAATCACAAAAAATATAAATAGGATTTTATTTCCTTATTATTATTATTATTATATTTCCTTTTTTTTTTCCTTTGAAATGTTTATCGAAAAATGATCTGTTCTCTGTATGTCAACACCCTGTATCTCTGAAATGAAGCATGTCCAGACACAAGTTTATGTATAGACTTTTTTCTTAAAATTGTTTCAGGAATACTTCACTTGAATATAAAAACTTCAAATTGGATGTGGAAATGTACTTGTGATTTATTTTTTTAGCGCCAACTATGATAAGAAAATGTATTAAACATTTATTTTCTAACCTAAATAAAATCGAATTTGAAATCGTAAACAATAACCACCCTTTTGAAAGGGAAAATAATAAAACTTGTTATTTTAGTATTATCTATTGAGAAAATACATGGGAAATCACTTTTTCAATGTATCACTCACATCTTCATAAATCCAAGTATATTTAATGAAACTTTACTGTCATTCAATTTTATATAAATAAGTAAGAACACTATAATCATTGATAAAAAACAGCTGAACAAAATATACAACATGTTTCATCTGAAACGCAGATTAAAAGTATTTTGATTCCAAACTATAATAATAAACGTACTTAGTTGATACCCATTACCGAAAAACCAGAAGTGCTATCATCTGTAAAGAAATTTTTGAGTTTAACATTCGAACTCAAAATAAACTTCTAACTTGCGTTTCAGTTGAAACACTCTGTATATTGGAACATTTTTCATTTGGAAGTTTCTTCATTTCCTTAATTTCAACTTGAACACACTTGAATAAAGTATATGAAATAAATTATATGATAGGGCTTTGATCAAAGGGTAAGAGAGAATAGAATACAATAATTGGAAAACATCATCTCACTAATTCAAAAAATTTCAGAAAAAACATTATATAAATTCAGTCTTAATAAGTGACAAAAACTTCCAACATGATCGATTGTCCATCGGAGAAGAACCATGTGTTAAAATTAATAAGGAATAGAAAAATTATACATTTATAATAAGATTAAGGTCAAATCTGAAAATATCATGTAGGGCAGTATCAAGAAATTTGAAGTTATGGTTCATCATCACCATATGTTAAGCTAGTTAGCCGTGATCAGTGTCATTACTCCATAATAATTATGTTTTTTCGGGAAAAATATTAGATTTTAGCTCAATGTTTTTTGGCTCTCTCCGCTTTGCGTCTGGAGACAACACAACATAAAGCTAAATTCTACTATTTTTTCCCCTAATAAATAACTATTTTGCACAACAAACTTGAATGAAAAAATGATGATGGAAATAAAAAATGATGAGTAATCCATATCACTTTTGAAACATTTTTTATTCCTATATTTGAATTTTTGCCAAGAAGGTTCTAGAAAAATATGAATATCAGATGATGTGCTTAGGAAATACAACACAAGTGTATATGATTGTTTTCAGGTGTCTATTCCACATCGAGCAGTATTATAAACAAAACAGACATGTTTTTTTCAAATAGGTAGTCTTCAATCATCATCATTTGCTATCCAACACAAGTTCTCACAATCATTTCATTCATCCACAGGACCTCTATTGAGGTTCCTCCAAAAACAATCCTGAGATCAACATTTTGCCTTTAACCTATTCACTCTACCTACATTAACTAGAATAATTTATATAGAAACAATTATCAATAAAATAGTCTCGAATTCTCAAATCGGGAATATAAGATTAATTATTTTGGTTACATAATGACATAGATGAAACAATAATGAGCTCGAATTCACCTACCTACCATACTTGTTAAAACAATAAACAAGATGAAATAATTCCGCCATCTACCGCCGTCATTTCAGTTATACCATACTGCTATACATTGTGAGTGTCCCTGAAAGGTCTGTACAAAAACTTAGCACATATTCCTGAGGTCAAAATGGGCCGATTTGAAGCAACTTACAGTCCGAAATTGCTACAGTATTCTTTGGGAATTCCAAGAATTCTGGGAATTTATTGGGTAGTCCGGGTATTCTTTGGGAAGTCCGGGAATTCTTTGGGAAGTCTGAGAATTCTTTGGGAAGTCCGGGAATTCCTTGGGAAGTCCGGAAATCCCTTGGGATGTTTGGGAATTCCTTGAGAAGTCAGGGAATTCCTTGGGTAGTCCAGGTTGTCGTTGGGAATTCCGGGTATTCTTTAGGAAGTCCGGGAATTCTTTGAGTAGTCCCAGGAATTCCTTGGACAGTCCCAGGAATCCCGGGAATTCTTTCGACAAAGGAAGTCTAGTGTATCCGAAATTGGTCCATGATTTACCCCTCGCAGGGAGGTGAAGATAAAAAATAAAAATCGACAAGAACACTCCAAGAAAGTATTTTGAAAATTCCATTTATGCACTGTTAATTCACTGACAAAATTACATCCACGAAGATGACAGCAAACATTTTTTGTTCAAAATGATTTTAAATATTCTCGTGCTGCATCTTTTGAAAATGTAAGGAAAATGATTTCCTACACAAATTGAGTGAGGAACTACACTGAGAAAAAAGTGATGGCCACTCTGAATCATAAGTAGTGAATTATAGTAAGCGACCTCTAATGGCCACATTGAAAAGGTGTCTGTATTTCTGTTTTTCATCTCAAATAACCCCTGGATATCAATTTTCGAAGTAATAGGTCTGGGAATGTTGATAAATAAATTTTGAGAAATTCAATCTGAGGTAAGTTGCTTTGAATCGGCTCATTATGACCTCAGGAATACGTGCATATATTTTGTACAGATCTTTTAGTATTATATGATATAAGCTATTCCAATAAATATTAATATTGAAATGACATGATTATAGAAAAATAATGATCTATTCTTGATTTTATTTTCTCCTAAAGATGTAAATTTTCTCTTTCATTGCTGATATGGTGAATTTTTCCTTGCTATGGCAACTTTTCAGCTCTAGGGACAAAAAGTGACACTGTTTGTCCTATCAAAATGTTTGAGAAAATAAGTGTTTTTTTTTTTGATTATTATTGAGGATGGTGGCATGTCATGTTCTAGTCTAGTAATTATTTACAATTATGCAACTGTTGCCTTTCAACTTGTAGTAAAAGTACTGCATTATTGCTTTTTCCTATAATAAGTGAGCATTCTAAAATCTAACTAATGAGTTTCCTCAAAACTTCTAGTAGGAAATCATATTTAGTGATGTAATGATATAGCATACATATAAATCATAGGAAAAACTGTGGAAAATAACCATTTTTTCAATCAAAAAGATCTGTGTATACCAATTCATGATGTCAAAGTTTGATATGTTCATATTTTCACCAGTAGAGGCAAAAATAATTTGTAGTGTCATGAACATAACAGCAATTGGAGTTTTATTTGAATCTAAAAATGAAACAAAAATAGGATGTTTCATGATACCAAATCTCAAACTTATTCTATTAAATCACAAGAAAGTTGAAGAAGCATTCATATCAGAGTTTTCTAAGAGAATATACACATACTTTTGTTATATACTGGTATTAGTGTGTTAGTTTCAGTGGAACAGCACTTGATTGGATTCACCTAAAAAAAATCCTACCAAAAAAAGTGCATGAAATCTTCAATGTATGAGTAGGTAAAGCTGATATCAGATTAATGGATTGTGAAAATTATTCAATTTCTTGTATAATCTTCTGCCCCACATGGTAAAATCCTCAAAAAAAAAATGAATCTTTCCACAATACAGTATCTTAAAGCAAATATATAAATATTAAAGTTGTACATCAGTTACAAAGTGGCAGTGATAGCTGACGTCAGAGGTCACCTAATGAATATATAACCTCAAATTTAACTATACAAGTCTGTACTGGTCCTGACTGCTGTTTGAGTCAGAGTACAACTTAAAATTGTTGTAAACGTCACAGAGCTCTTGAAGCTTGTATTCCTCCAGGCATACAAAGCCCTCCAAGTTTGCAGATTGCTTTCTTGCACATTCCATGCAATGCACAACATGGCGCTTCTCTTGTTCCTTGATAAATAGCACATCAAACACCTCTATTTCACAATGCCCACAATAATGTGAAGCCTCATTTTTACCTCTACCATGAAATTTGACCTCCACCCCTTTGTTCCTCACAAACTCCAAGATCCAGCAGCACTTTGTCAAGCTCTTCAACAAACAAGCTTTGATCCCCTCAAACAATTTTCTGTCAGAGACCTTGATGTTCCTGGCTAGGTTCCAAGACAAATGCAACATGGGTACAATTGACTTGAAGCTCTCAAGTTTATTCCATTCATATCTCTCAATGGATAGTTGGTACTGTCTAGCAGTGAGAGGCCCCACATTCCATGCTATATTGTTGCACCAGCCCACAGCTTGAACCCAATGGACACAACCAGAATTGACCCACACTAGGTCTCCAGGTCTCTGCAGAAAGCGGTACACTGGTATGTTGGCATTGTACAGGTCTTCCAGTACAGGCCACCAAGAACCATGGAGATAGTTGATCTGGTTTTTTTCACACAGACTTTGAACTCCCCCCCAATAAGCATCTGGCACCCCAAACCATTCGCAATCTCCAGGACCTATGTTGATGTTGATAGAGCAGAAATTGTTGTTTTCTTGATGTCCTGGAGTTCTACTACCTGGTACTTTCATGTACAGCTGCACTGTGTTCATGCCTAATATCACATGACCTACATGAGACAACATGTTGGCTGCTGACACAATCCTAGCAAAAGCTGGAAGTTTCATCAGTTCTTGGAGCTGCATCCTCCATTTGCGTTCATCTGACAGGTCCACATTTGTGCCAAACTTCAATGTCTTATGTTCTTTACCATTTTTGAGGCCAGAGCCAGGACTAACATTGATGGTAATTTTTCGTCTCTTTGGCCCACCACAAGAAGGCTCCTTTGAATCAGAATCTGACAACCCACTTGTTTTCTCACGTTCCTCTCTCAAACTTTCCTTGAAACTCCAAGCTTGGTACTGGGCATATCTGGCAATAGTAGTGTGAGATCTGTGGGAGATACAAGACCAAACTTTCCTGCCTGTGTGTGGGTCATAATTTTCATCTGAAGGCTGTTGAATTTGGGTTCTCACTTCCACACTGTGATCTGGATTTGCCTCCACCAAGGTTTTTGTGGAGAACAACCCCAGATCCAACTTCAAAGCTGACGCTAGCCCTCTTATGACAGCAATGGGATGTTTCAAGCAGAACTCTTGCAGCTGGGGGCTGAAAGCATGCTTTTTGTTGTCAAGGTACACACTGGGGGTGGGGGGTAGAAGTTGTTGGTGGTTGAGCTTGACAGAGGGAGGTACAGGGGGCACAGGAGGTGGACCAGAGTCAGTAATAAAGTTCCCATTCACAACTTCACTCTTGCAAAGCTGTATTATCGTTTGGGCATCCATTTCAATGTTGTACTCAACCTTGGACTTTTTTTCTCCTGAGCTGAATGAGTCAAATTTCCATGGTGATTGAGATTTGACAGTGGGTTCATCACCAACAGGAGATTTTACTATAGGCTCGAATTTAATAGGCATCTTTGGTTTTGTGTCAAGGCTGTCTGAAGGCATGAAGATATTTGCAGTGGTAGTGGCAGTGCCTGTGGGTTCCTTGATGTCAATATCATCAGAGCCAAAATGTTTCAGCAGATTCTCAGCCAGAGTAGTTGCTAGATCTTTTTGCGCAAACAAGTCTTTGAGATCTTCTTCTAGGTTATTGTCCAGCTCATTTGACTGTTCAATGTGACTCTGCTGGTGCATCAATCTATCACTTTTGGCAGTGTTTGTTGACAGTACTGTTTGCCCAAAGGGTTGGCTGAATGTTGGGGGTGTCACAGTGGATCTTGATACAAGTGGTTGTCTCAATTTCTCTTGATTTTGTTGCATCAACCTATACTGGTTCTGTAGATGGTGCATCAGATTGAGCTGAGTGGTATTCAATGTGCTTACATTTTGCTGGAAGTGGTTGAGGAGCTGAAGCTGTTGGGGTGAAAGATTGTAAGATGGTTGTACTAGTGATGATTTTTGTTCTTCTGTCTTGAATCTTTTGCTAGAAGAGTTTTCGTTTGGGGAAAAATACGGCGGCGGGGGTCCCTGATGACTGGACGTGGTATAGCTCTTCTGGAAACTCTGAGTCGGACTTATTCTAGTTGTCTGTGGATTTGGGTGTCTTGAATTCATATTCACAATGATGAGGAATTCCACGCCTCTCTATTGGGACGCACAGTGCCAATACTCGCATAGCATATCCTTTTGTGAGCAACGTATCGCTAGGTGATCGCTAGTTGTATTCTTTGATTTTTGTCTCCTAATGACTCTTGGCAATGATACAACCAACCAAGCTGTCGAAAAATATCAGCTCTCAGCAGCTTTCTCACAAAAATATAAATCTAATTTAATATACAAATGGAATGAAAAGTATATTCACCTATGTTCCTTGGGCATTCTTAAATCAAAACAAATAAAAAATAATAATGTTGCATTCACCACGTAACAATGCACTTTCCAGATAATGCACTTCACTTTTCACTTATCGTCTATGGGATATCGACTGCAAATACGAAAATACAAATATTTTTATCCTTGTTTTTTATCACCCATTAAGAAAGATAGAATGTGGATGACTCATTTCATCAATGTCTTTTGTATGATATAAGTGACATCAACGTCAAGATGACATGACGTTGTTTTCGGTCACTGTCAATCACAAAACTCACACAAAAATCCTTAGATCATACAAGCAAAAATCTTTGAAATCCCGCACAGCTGCAGTGATGCCAACTCAGCCATTATTCATCAGTCATTTTTGAACTCATCTAGCTACTAAAAATTGCATCTAGCGATTTAGCCATTTTTTCCAGCTATTTCTTGTTCGGAGTTTAGACCAGTATGTATTTCTATTGATTTTGTGCTGCATACTCTGTGCCATTTTGACAAATTGGGTGCGTTCTTCATTCCAACCAATACCAAATTCCAACATTTTGTCATGCGCATGAATCGAAGAAACATTGACGTTGACGTCAACACTTCTTGTCTTACGTCAACGTCAATACTGAAAGAGTCAGTCAATGAACTCTATAAACACCGTTCATTGGAGTCAGTAGAGAGCTCTAGATCTAAGCTCTAAGGCCCATATTTATAGTCGTTTCCTCAAGACTTCCTCAAGGCTTCCTTATCTGAGGATTCCTCAGCACTTGAAGGAATGACTTGTTTTATAAACATTCCTCAAGTGCTCCTTGTGTAAGGAATCCTTACATTTGGCAACAGTGTTCAATGTTAGTGTTCTGTGACCAGATTCTGCTGATTTATGTCGATTTCTGTTTCGTGCCGTGTTGTGTCAATATTTCAAAAATTCAAATTTGAAAGTGAAAAAGCGAGGTAAGTGGAAATTTTTGATTCTGTAGACTTAAAGACTGATACTAGATGATTTTTTCAAATTTACAGATGAGTGATATTGATAGAAAAGTATTCTCCGTAAGAGAGAAGGTTCTGCTTATGTCTTTGGTGGAGAAATATAAGAATATATTGGAAAATAAAAAAACCGATGCTATACAGATCCAACAGAAAAATGAAGCCTGGAATAAAATTACTCAATTTTATAACTCGAACGATGTATCCAGAAGGACCACAAAGCAATTAAAAAAACTATGGGATAATTTGAAACAAAAGTAATAACCTGATATTCATTCCAATTATATATTGGAAATATGAATATAGTTCACCCAATAATACTCATCACCTATAATTGAACATTTTTAGGACTAGAAAGTCAGATACGGAATTCAAAAATAAAATGCTGAAAACAGGTGGTGGTCCTTCTTCAAAAGTAGATGATGATCCGCTAAATGTAATGGTGCGGTCAATTGTTCCTACCATTAATTTCATGATAGATAACAAGTTTGATAGCAATGCTGCATATGTCGAACAAAGTGAGATAATATGTTATTCTTTTACATCAATAAATGAAAATGATTTATCATTTTGCTATAATATACTGTGCTAGTCAAAAGTCCCCTCCCCCCCTCGTATCTTTTGAACGGGTATACTTATAATAATGAAATTCGGATGGTGGAAATAAACGGATGTAGGCTTCTCAACTGGTCATAACAGGTGACGCAATAGTTTATTTCCACCCTCCAAATTTCATTATTATAAGTATACCCGTTCAAAAGATACGAGGGGGGGAGGGGACTTTTGACTAGCACTGTATAATATATCATATAATATTATACAGGGTGTTCCTTAATGACATGCTAATAATATATTCAAGTCAATAGCGTGACAAAAATGACTGCAAAAATGTCGTCAATTATTGATCGACTGATGTCTATGACCAAAAATCACCAGATATTGACGTCATTTTAGACGTGCTTCTGTGGGCTGGGAAACGTCCTAACTTTTGATATACAGAAGTCTTTGAGGAACACCCTCTATAATAATGAAATCTTCAATAACATATATTTATTCTCATAGGAAAACATTTGGAATCATCATCTTCTCCTGAAGTTGCACCAGTACCAGTGGATGAAGGTATAGTTTATAATAATCCATATGGTAATATGGTATATATACTTACTTATTTGGAACAATGGTTTCAGGATCTGTTATTGAAATGGAAGAAGATGATATAATAAGACATGAACAGTTTCCATTAGGTAAAAATCTTGCCAGATTTATCATTGATAAAATTCGTTTTTTTTTTCAAATATATGGGTATAGGTATTTCTTTTTTGTAGATCTGGATTATGAAATTCAGCACGACGTACCAAATAGGAATGATGAAAATGTAACATTAGTTCCAGGTAAAGGTAATAAAAACAATATATTAGATATTGTCTCTGGAATTTCTGTTTTTCAGATATATCAAAAAAAAACTCGCGAAAAACAAAAAATAATAACATTTCATTAGTTGAAAAAGAAAGTCAGCTGAGACTTACAAAATTAGAAAACGCCATTCAACAGCAGACTGAACTGCATAAAATGAAATTAGAAGCAGCTGAAGCAGAAAAATTATTCTGGATTAAGAAAACCCAGTTGCTAGATAGAGAAGATTCATCTTTCAATTTTTAAAATTAAATCATTAATTGTTACTTATTCCTTAAATAAATTATAATAAAAGTTATACGGCTCTGAAAAGTCCACATTTGAAAATAGTTTCAGATTCACAGGGTGTTCCATTTTCACGCGCAATAGCAAAAATAATAGATTTTTCAAATGGAATACCCCTGTATTTTATTGCATTCTTAGATTCTTCTAGAAGAGCTGATTTTATCAATGCATCACACTTATTGGGGTCCAGCGGAAATGATTACAGGGATATATAGGGTGTTCAAAATCGAGATTTTTCAACTGTTAGGATTTTTTGTGTCCGAACTATTCATTATTGGCCACAAAACGGCTCACATATGTCCCTTTCTTAACTTTTATGATTATCTATCTACTGACATTTAATTGGAACAAATAAAGAGATAGAGGGTGGTTCAAAGATTCAGAATTCTGATCACCCTCTGTATCAATTGAAGCTTTTAAAATTGGAAAATGCAATTCAACAGCAGACAACTGTATAAAGTGAAACTTGAGGTTGTAGAAATAGAAAAAATGTATTGCATGGTTAAGAAAAACTCAATTGTTGGAAAAGGAGAATGTATTTAATTAAATAATATATATATATATATATATATATATATAGTATAGATCAACACATATATCTATATTTTGAATGGAACTGTTCATTATTTCAAAGTAGAGGTACCAAATTATAAATACCTACTCCCAGGAATATATAGGTACTGTAAATTTGCGAATTTGTCATGTTTCAGATTTTTTGTCGATTTACCTTCAATAATAAAAATTCAGGAAAAGAGTTTTGAAACCTTATTTTCGAGCATTAATAGAAAAACTATATGTATTTCATCAATTTTGATTCTAAACAAGAAGAATATGTCACTAGTAATAAAATCTTTCATTGCCACATGGGACAATAAATATGAAAATAATAATATAGGATGTCCTTTGACTTTTGGCATAAAATCTAATATTATATAGGTCTATTATATACTTTTGCATTCACTTCTCTATAAAAAGACTTGAAGGATAACAACAACAGTTGAATTTGAGGTAAAAAATCAAAACCAATACCTAATCGGAAGAGGTAATAATGCAACATCAAGCAGTAAGTAGAATCTGTTACCTTCTTGAAAACATTCATATAGATACTCCAAGATTACGAAATCCTGATGGAATGGTGCACTGGTGGTCACCTAGGTGGTTATTCACATACCTGAATGAAAAACAATATTAGTACACATGTTTGTCTCAACATACCCATAAAATCAATTAATATCAAAAATGTATTTGTATAAATGCCCTTCGGAATGCTAATCCTTCTACATTATTATCAATATTTTCAAATATAATATTTTCTGCAATATTGACCACATCTTCTGCTTCTTCATCTTCAAAAATATCATTCATCTGCCTTCCAATATTATGCAATACTGCTGTTGCACAAATTATAGTGGCAGATGTCTCTAATTTTGTGTTGAGTGTTCTTTTCAAGCATGGGAATCTTCGCTTCCAAATGCCAAACACTCTCTCTACAATATTTCTTGTACTCCGATGTGCTCTATTGTAATTCCTTTCAGTGACATTGCTTGGATTCAAAACAGGAGTCAACAAGTACCTCTTGCACCCATATCCATTATCACCCAGTATAATACCTGAGATTTAAATAAATATAATATATATTAGATACTTCTCTTTCCTCATTGCTGCCATTAATAGTTCAGAAAATGGAAAAATCAAATCAGATAATTGAAGATGCCCAATGGATATTACCATCTAGCTGATTCTCTTCAAACAAAATTCGTAGAGCACTTTGGGCAAATATTGTGTTATCATGGGTTGATCCTGGATGTCTGACAACAATATCTAAAATTTCCATATTTGGACCACATGCAACCTGAGAGCAAGAGGAGTAGGTATTAGCTAATAGCACAAAATATAAGGTGAACCATTTATAATAGGGACCTGGACATTCAGTGAAAATTGTCCTTTCCTGTTACGGAAAATTTCTCCAATATCTCCACCAGGATTCAAAATTGAGATATGGGTTCCATCAACACAAGCTGCAACATTTGGAAATCCGGCTATTGTGTGAAATTTCCTTATATTTTCTTGTTGGCCATCAGCATCAGGAAAATGTATGAAATTGTTCAAATGTTCTGCCAAAGCTATGGACACCCTTTTGATTATAAATGACATTGATGCCTGTGATATTCCTCTTAAATCAACCCCATCAATCTGTAGCATACATAGGAACAATTTGAAATCATTGAAGGATAAATTCAAATTAATAAACCTTTGGTAAACCTGGGTAATAAACCATACCTGAAAATGACCTGTAGCATAATATCTCAAGCTAGCCAGAAGTTGAATGACTGGTGCTATTGGCAATCCTCTATTGTTGTTCTTCATCAGGGAATGGGTCACAAGTGGTAAGATAGTATCCCTAACTATCACTTTGGGAAAACGATATCTCCTTCTGAATTCTACATCCCTATAGAATGTGAATGGGTCTTCAACATCTCTGATGTAACGTTTAGGGATTCTGTTGATCACTTCGTTCTCTTCTACTCTTTCAATGAAATCAAGAAAATCATCCAAATCCATATTTTCTTGCAAAATAATGAAATGTAACCTAGAACTTGTCAACAACCAAAGACAAAACTCAAAATATTCAAACAAAACACCTGTGAGAGACCTGAAATCTCACCGAAAACTGACTTGAGGAGTGCTCAAGGATTGCTCAAGGTACCCTTCTACCTACCTCGACATTGAAAGGTACTTGAGGCTTCCTTCCAACTCATATGATGACTATAAAACAGAAACTCGTCCTCAAGGAATCCTTGAGGGACGAGGTCGCCTTAAGGAGCGACTATAAATACGGGCCTAAACTATGATAGCGGTTTCCATTGGGCATGAACTGGTGGAGTATTTATGCACTCAGTGTATATTTATTCCTCTTTATGACATGTAGTAGAAAGAGAAGTGTATACACTAAGTGCGCATTAGTTTCACCAATGGAATCCGCTATAAGCTCGAAGGCCTATTCGTTTGTGTTTGCTCTCCCTGCTGAACTTGATTTTTTTCTATGGCTCTCTCTCTGTTTACATAATGTCATGAACAGAGACAACTACGGAAACAAAATCAGCTTTAGCAAGTTCAGCAACGCAAACGAACACACCTAAAGTCAGAATCGTAGTCCATGATCATATTTCTTGTGTTTGCTGAAAAAAATGCAAAAAACGACTAGATTAGCCAAAAAATGGCGCTGCGCACTTTCATTCATAGCTATATTTTAGTCTTTTTCCAACAATCATCTAGACGTTTTCGAAATTGGCTGTTGGCAACACTGCAGCATTGGGCTGGAACTGGTTGAGTATTTTTGCACTCAGTGTATATCCATCACATAGATCATACAGGAAATCCATTATTCTTTTTGACGTGTAGCAAAAAGGAAAATGTATACTCTGAGGGCGAACTGGTTTTACCAATGGAACCCGCTATTAGTTAGTGAAACGAGGCCTGTTCGTTTGTTCTTGCTCTACCTGCTAAACTTGATTATTTTCTATGACTTTCTTTGTTAACATCGTGCCATGAACAGAGACAACTATATGAAAAAAATCAACTTTAGCAAGTTCAGCAATACAAACGAACAGGCCTACGGTGTGCGACATTTTTTTGTAGTGAATATGATGTAAATGTGTATTTGCTTTTGTTTAACTCATGACATAAAAGAAGATAAATGAGTGCGATCTGGTTTTACTAGTGGAACTTGATCTGCTGTCAAAATCGTAGCAGTTGGTAATAGTTGCAATTGAAAGTAACTAGATTTGATTTTGTTTAAAAAAGAAAAAACGACAAACCTGCGTTACTGTTACTGACGTTTTTAATTTTTTAGTTGTTATTTGTCTTGATCATTGTGAAAGTTTGAGAACAAACCTAATTTTTTCCATTGTATAAGTAATATAATAGTTATAATTCCACATGAACCAAGAAGAGATGACACGCAACATTTATTATTCAGATAAATATTACGACGATGAGTATGAATACCGGTAAGGTTGATACATATTTTATCAAAATGGTGAAAGTTGTCAAAATCCAGCTCGAAATATTTCGCAATGGTATTGAATGAACTCGTTTTGTTTAAGGCATGTCGTTCTTCCTAAGGAAATGGCTAAATTGGTACCGAAAACACATTTGATGTCTGAGGATGAATGGCGACGCATTGGTGTTCAGCAAAGCATAGGTTGGGTGCACTATATGACACATGCTCCAGGTAAAATATTTCATTAAGTATAGAAACATAGTCAACATTAGTTGAATATAAGTCATAGTAAATGATATAGAACTATAAAATATGGGTTTCCTGAATCAAGTTTATTTCTGATCCAAGACCAGGTCTACAGAACTACACATTACATGCCCATACACTTTCAACATCTATTTTCAATAAACCTGATCATTCAACCAATTAGAATTATTGCGTTAATCTGATCATTTGGTTTATTGGGATTAGTCCAGAATGTTTTTTGTTTTGCATTAGATAGGGACTAATAAGGTACCTAAGCTTTGAATATATTTCTTATGAAGAAAGTCCTAAAATGTATTTATACTGATCCGGCCTGTGAAAGTTTGTTACTTTTAATAATATAGGAATTACATAAACTAGTGTATATAATCAAGGATAAAAGTCATCTGAAGAATAATTGCTGTTATTATACCTAAGAATTGCATGAAATTTAATATATTTTCTAATAAATGGTATTCAAATTGTGCTTTCCATATCTAACAAATGGCATAAAATGACCATAATAATTTAATTATGTATAGTTATTTTCTTAGATAGATCATCTATGAAAAATTGGTTTTTTCAGAGCCCCATATTCTGCTGTTCAGAAGGATCATCACAACTCCACCCTCAAAAGAATAGGCAAGGGTTGCAAATAATTTGTACATAATGTGTATATTAGTTGATAACAAATATGAGTCTGAACATCACTTTGTGTCCCATTATTAACTAAAAGGAAGAGGTATATTTTATTTCCACTTTAGAATGTTGCAACAACAGTTCATATTCATTTTCTGAACTATCATCTGAATTTATAGTTATTGTTTTGATAAATCATTTGAAAATCAAGTCAAATCTTGAAATTCATCTTCATTCACATGTAAGACATTATATTTGATAGGAAACCAATGATGAATAATTATCAATATTCAAGTCCCTTTTGCACAAGACAACCTAATTACAGACAATCTGAGAAGTTGCTGCCCAGTTTTTGCAAATTGAACAGTAAATATGAATTTGAGAAAAGATGCCTCTATACATTGCATCCTATTGAATTGTCTGGAAATCTTGCAGTATTCATTTTATTTTTGTTTGTTTTATGTGAGACAAGGGAGATGTTGCTACTCATTTTATTTTAGTTGAAGGCTGTTACAGAATAGTCACTGCACCCTTTAATTTTAAGATGTTTGTGGTAGTAATACTTTTTTTACTGATTTTTACAAATAAACATTTTAAATTGTTCTCTTTCTAGTTTCCTTCTTTATTCATAAAGCATGTTTAGATCTATGCATACTTTTGAATGAATTAAGCCTCCATTTTCCAAAATTAAAGTAGGTTATTACCAGTCTACTAGGTGGTGACTAGGTTTGAATTCCATTGGAAAACTGGTTCACATAGTTTAGAGCTCAGTGCAACAATTCTCGCAGGCGCTCTAATAGGTCCTGCGAAGTCAGTGCAGTTTTGAAAATGGCGGAAACATTGAATATGCATGGTTCAAAAACCAAAAATGAGTGGCAATCTAATCATCATCATCAAGTAGTGATGAAAATTTCAAGGTTTCAAGAAAATAAGAGAGATTACTTCCCAGAATTCATAATTTTGTTGAGTGTTTTGCACTATAATTCAATGATGAAGACGTACTTATTAAAAAAACTGCTCAAAATTATTTCCATTTTCCATGAAACATCTACTTTGTTCTTAATTGAAGTCGAGAAAGAATTTCAGGATGCGGACAAGTTATAATGAAAGACAAACAAATGTATCCGATCTAACCTCCAACAATAAAATTTTATTATATTATTTCCTATTCCATTGGGAATGCACCAGTTCACATTTTGGAGAGAATAGTGCGGGTGCAAAACCAGTGCACCACCAGGTTTATGAATGGAATTCCCTATAAATGTTTTAAATATTCAATTCCCCTCTACACCCATCAACTGATAGTTCCATTTCTAAGAATAAACAGCACTGCAATGATGCATTATTTCAGATTCAAATAATGAAACAAATACATAGTTGAATATGTACAAAGTTTATTTATTCAATCTTGAACAAAAATCCATTATGGAAAGAAATCAAAGAGCAGTTTGATCTTGAAATTTTACAATCTAACACACTTTCACTAAAAAAAATATGAGTTATTCAGTCAACCTTATACAAACAGATAAGAGCTTAATCAATCTAACAGTTTTAAATGAATTTGTTAGTCATCATCCTCTTCCTCATTTCCACTACTTTTCTCTCCATTCTCCTCCTCTGCAGATTCTTCCTTTTCTTCTTTCTTTGATCTCCCTCTTCTTCCTACTGAAATAAAAATATTCAATAAAATTGATCAAAATACACTGGGACAAATTTATATGATCATTGATCAGTATTATTGCATATTTCGTTCATGTATGATTATGCTATGCTTAGCATAAGCATATGATATCAATCATAGGTTAAACTATATATCACATTGTTGAGTCATATTCAGAGAACCCTATTCATTTATAAACCTCTATATATTGGTGTGTTGTGTATAATGGCATCAAAATCAAATTATAACTACTCTACAAAATAAAGAATGTTAACATTAAATAATCTAACCTCCATTTGTCTTGGATTTAGTGTCAGTCTTCTTCTTAGTAGCACCTCCCTTTGGCCTCCCGCGTCCCCTTTTAGCTGGGGGTGCATCACCATCTTCTTTATTGGCGGCTTCAGCTTTTGAATCCTGAATTGAAAAAAAAATCATAAAAAATGCATTCATAAAATGCGCCACCAAAATTTGTTATTGAAATACGGAAAATGGGAATTATACCTTCTTCGTACGCTTGGTACTCTCTGCTGCCGCCTTGCGTCCCTTTTTCGTTTGAACTTCCTCGTCAGACATATTTCACTGCGATAAAGGAAAATATTTTAGCCTTTTGGCCTTCTGTTTTCGATTTTCAAGAAACTATGTGCTTGATACACTGTGACTGAATTATTGAATAATGATAACACAGAATTACCTTTTTAAACAAGTTCTTCAAGAAGTCCCAAGTAAAAGAGAAGGCTTCGCTTCGCTTAGTTCGCTTGGCTTTTCAAAGGATGGTCAATGGAGAGAAGATTGTTACTTGATCTTGATCGGCTATCGCTATCGGAAGAATGGAAGAATCTCAGTATCGGCTTGTGCTTGATTTGATGATTTGCCAACCGGCTTCGGGCTTCGGATCTGCCTTTGAAAACAAAGGAAATGAAAATGATTGAATTTGCGCAAGCGTAGCGTCCCTTTCGTGATTCTTTTCGCGCCAAAGATCGATGATATTATCAAAAACCTATATTCTTTGATATTATTTTCCACTTCACCCAATATGCCTGTTCGTTTGTATTAGTTTGTAACACAGATTTAATAACCAAGCAAATTTTTCTTGCTCTCTTGTTTCTGCTCTAGGGTCGTTTAGAGCTTTGTTGTTCCGTTGTCATTTCGTGTCAAAGTGTCATCTGTCTAATATAGCGAGTGGAAGAGAAAGATGAAAAATCGAAAAATAATAGAAATGTCGGACTTCGATGCGTCAAGAACAAGGCATGACATATTTTTATCAGAATATTTGTATTTTAATTTCAAATATAAGTGATTGCGAGTGTCCAGTTATGATTTTTATCGTCTATTTATTGGTATTGTGGTTATAATGTGAGTATTCATGCGTTACCTGTGCAATTATCAATATAAATTTTCCATAGTGAGAATGCTCCCACTTTCGCCATATTTGTTTATTCGAAGAACGTACATACAAATATATGAAAAATAATTTATATATTTTCATAGATTCATTCAATGGTTACTTATTTGTGTTCTTTCTCATAATATATTAAACGTTTGGCCAAATTGTCTAACTTCTATTATGTGAGAATTGTGATTTGTGTATCCATGGAATTTAAAGAGCACAAATATTGGTATGTCAAAGAACCAAATTGCTCTGGTATGAAGATTATTGTTATTTAATCAAACTTTTAGATAGATTAGGATGAATATTTTCAACTGTCTAGTTGAACATTTGAGATGTCTCAATTTTTTTAATTCCAGTTTACTTTAAAAGTCTAGATCATTCATCCTTTAGAATATTTGGGTTCAAAATTGAAGAAGGCTGCAAAAGTCTACCATCATACATGTATTGAGTTTGATCCCTGTTTATCAAATACCTATTTATACCTATATATAATTTGAATGGTTTTGAATGATTTCTATTGCTGTCTTTTTCTCATTATTTTGTAATAAAATCAGAACCTCAACTAGAAAACTCCTAAAATAATAGGTATTATTTTCAGATTATCTTTCACTATATGTTTGTAAAATGTTCACATAAGACAATGGATCCAAGTTTACCCATACCAATCCTTATCAAAGATGAGGAAAAATTTTCAGATGTTCCAGAAATAATTGATTTGGGTGAGTGAAAATACCTATGTAATTCATGATTTTTTGATTTCCTCATAGGTACATGGATACTTATTTTTTTTTTGCAACTTATGCAGTAAAAGAACATTTCAATTCACATTCATTTTGTATGTGATGTAATGAGAGGGTTTATTATGGCACTGCTTCTCTTGTAGAACTGTTATTCCTGTATCTAAATCATTTATTATGGGCAAAATAATGAGCAGAAAAATTAGGAGGTTGAAGATCAACTGAAACTTATCTAAAAAATTCTATTAGATTTATTTTATTATTTTGGTGACAAACTTGATACTTGTAGATGAGCAGGTTTCATCAGAGGATGTTATACTGGAATGGTGCACAAAAGTTCGCTTGAAATTCAAGAGCTATTTCATTGCTGATACTGAAAGAAATTTGGATACTCTGATGAAATGGTATATTCAGTAAGTGTAAAACTGTTATATTTTCAACACAACTCTTTTTCATGATATTCATGGACAGCTGGCTATAACAGGATAATTCTTATTTGTTTTTCTTTTAGATTTTTCATTGAAGAAGCCATTTACATAGATGACTGTTTAGCTGTAAAAACTGAACTTATCAAGCACATCCAGTTCTTCAAAGTGATTTTCAGTGAATTAGACTGTCAATTTGTGGATAACTATTTGGATAATATGGAGGACATACTGGCATTATACTGCAACCTAGAAGCTACCTCCCTACCAAAAAAGAAGAGTGAATCCGTGTATGGCAGCATTTTGAAGACAATAGGGAGGAAGCTGTTAGCCACTTTCAATGCCTTCTTGATGGGTAGGGAGGAGAGGGTACATCATGTTTTAATGAAAATGAAGCTCAATTCTTCTGAGGAAAGCACTGATTTGCTTAATTTTCTCTATGGGTATGTGGGAAGCATGAATGATCTATTTATTTTTGGTCAAGTTTAATGACCAATTTTGAAAATTAGAACATGAAAAACTTTCAAGGAACTGGTCTCTGGTATAAAGTATTTCCTTGAGTATTTAATATTATGGTGTAAAAAAAACGGTGATAATTTGTCTTACTTGAACATAATTAGTTTGAAATGTCTACATTGCAACACCAAATAGTCAGGTTGGTATACACTCATCAAATTTACAAGATAAATAGTATTTGATGCAATCATTCCTTATTGCAAATATATTTTTTTCAATAATGAATTTGGTACCCTTGAAAAAGCCAGCTTTGATGATGTTGTGAGTAGACTGGAAGTCATCCATATCTGAATTCTGGCTTTCCCATAAAAACTAGGAGCACATATTTTGATGCTGCCAGATTTGTAACTAGTAATAATTACCTTATAAGATTCAATATGACCAATGACAACAATATTCACATTCACAGAAGACAATAGTTCAACCTGGTCGCTAATAATCACTTATTGAATACTTTTATACTCGCAAGTTGCTTCAGAACCAATAAAAATATTCTAGTATTCCTAATAGTCCTAGATTCTAGGACCAGGTATGTTGATTTTTTCGGATTTTCCCTTGTGTTTAATGTTATGAAATACAGTGTGTCCCACTTAAGACCGGAGCACCCTTATAAAATCTAGTTTTCAACCGATTTCTTTTTTTTTTGTTTCAGCAGAAGGACTATCCGTAGATCTACGTTTACACAAATTTGCAAAATAAAATTTCAATCTACAGGACATACTAAGTTATTTTTTTCATGTTGAAAATTGTGAAATATCATTAGCGATTTTTTTTTCGAAAAAATTGACCCCACCACTGAATTCAGCATCCTTCAATCATGTTGAGCGCAAAATTTCATTAGAGAATTTCAATTGGCAACAAAGTTATAACAACAATAATTTTGATTGCTCACCATTTTTTATGAATATCTCAGACAACTTCCGAGAAGCGGCAACATTGTCAACACAAATGTTGGAAATCATTGAGGTTTCTGGTATACATTTGAATTGATAACACAAACTATTATGGAGTTATAATCTTTAGAATGGTACCCTTTTTGAATGATCTACATTTTCAATTAGATGGCTGCCCAGTGCATCATGCTAGGATTATCAGACAATGGAAAAAAAATCGCTAATGATATTTTGCAATTTTTAAAATGGAAAAAATAACATAGTATGCCCTGTAGATTGAAATTTGATTTTGCAAGTTTGTGTAAACGTAGATCTCCGGATAGTCCTTCTGTTGAAACAAAAAAAAAAGAAATCGGTTAAAAACTATAGATTTCATAAGGGTGCTTCAGTATTAAGTGGGTCACACTATATAATGAATTACAATAATTATATGAAAAATTCACAGAGCTCTGCAGAAATAATGGTTTGTGACAGTGAACTAGTTAGCGTTGGTACTTCTAAAAAATGAAATAAAATTTTTAAACAGGACCATCATGAAGATACCATAGTTTCAATTACTAGTATTCAAAATATTCCAATTTCTTAGCATGAACTAATTTTGGACCATTAGAAGAACATTTCCTCCGAAAAACTACAGATTGGTCCCAATGATGAATACTAAAGAATAACATTGTGAAATTGGTATTGGTCATTAGATGTTTTCTATTTTCTTATAGTGAAATTCTGACCAAAAAACCATCAAATAAGTCGGACCTGGCGTTTTGCCGAGCATACGTTTTATATCAAAAATGGAAGATGATACAGAAGCCGGATTTGTGGCAACAAATGGACAGCACAATGTATGAACAATTCAACAGAACACCCAATTCTTTGAAAACAAATGAAACCCTCAATCAGATCCTGTTTCCTCAAAATGAATCTGTTCTCAATGTACTCACACACATCAGCAACAATTATACAATGATGTCAGATGAGTACTTCAGGTTCATGAGGTCTCAGAACATCCAAGAAGACAGTATCGTTTCTTTGGACATGATAAATATTGATACTGATGAGCAGCCGCTATTTGATGAGGTTGGTAACATCACTTCAGTCTGTATTTTGTGGATTTTTTTTTTATTTCATCGCTTGGATCGCACGAAAGGAAATCCCTATAATGTTCAAAAAACATCGTGCATTCCTAGGGAGGTTAGGGATACGAGGTAGGTATTGGATTTTTTTTGGAATTTCTGGAGATTATATGTTACAGATTATTATGAAATGCATTGATTGATTAACAAACTATTATTCCTGAATTGAGAGGCCATTTGACATTCAACAATAATTATATACAAAGCCAATATCTATAATTTCATATAATTCTCTTATTTACATCAAGGTACAGGTTCACAGGGTTATTCATTATAAATTACTTCTTCTATCAAATACCCTGCTGACTTCGGAGATTAAATGAAGAAAATATTTTTTTTTTATTGGGATATCAACCATGTATATCTAATATATAAAATTCTCCTCTCTCCATCATGGTGTTAGTGGTCGAACTCCTCCGAAACGGCTCGACCGATTTGTTTGAAATTTTTTTTGCGTATTCGGTAGGAATGAGAATCTCTCGTTATCTATTTTTTAATTCAAAAATTCAAAATGGCGGACGAGTAATGTTATCCGATTTCATTCAAAATTGGTATTTGGGGATTTTCGGGGTCGAATGTTATGATTCTTTCGTCAAATTTTGGAAATTCAAGATGGCGGATCCAATATGGCGGACGAGTTTTGTAATTATGGTCAGATTCCATTCAAAATTGGTATATGGGGATTTTCGAGGTCAGAGATTATGATTTTTTATCAAAATAGGAAATTCTAAATGGCGGATCCAATATGGCGGACGAGTTTTGTAATTATGGTCAGATTCCATTCAAAATTGGTATATGGGGGTTTTCGAGGTCAGAGATTATGATTTTTCATCAAAATAGGAAATTCAAAATGGCGGATACAATATGGTGGACGAGTTTTGTAATTATGGTCAGATTCCATAGAAGTAGAAAATTGTCGAATAAAACAGAAGTAGAAAATGAAAATAGTAGTTTGAAATACTGATGAAACACGATTCCATGGATATCCAAACTAGAAAGAAGTTCAAAACAAAACAATAAAAGTATGTAGACGAATATTCAACTAAAAAAATATTTTCTAGAAGAAAATGTATATAGCAAA